TTGCAATCACAAACACCGTCGACATAAGTTAATCAACACAAGGCAGTAATGAATAGGCTGCCTGAGGTTAGCTAATTAAAAAAAATCGGGGGACAACAACATTTGCTACCGTCTCTTCATTGCCTGTCCCTGTCTCTTTCTCCTTCTCAACAAAGCACCACTACCGGATCCATTCGCCCATTCACTATCCAGGCAGAGAGGCCACAATTCAATGTGGATTCACCGTAAAACCTGATTGAGTCGTTTCTCTAAGCGTGGCGTATTGATTAGAGTCAGTGACAGGAACAAGGAGCTGAATTCCCCTCGTAGGGGCTCTCTGTCAGTATGCTGATGATGCATTAAAACTTATAAGGAATATATATGGTCTGTAGAACAAGGGTTCCCAAACTTTTCCATGCCAAGGCCCCTCAAATAGCATTAGCTTGTGGCCAGGTCATCTCTGAAATTCCTCCAGCTAGAGTAATACTTGTTGCATATACTGTGAGAATGATTTCCATTCTCTTCACTAAATTCCCCTAAAATGTGTGTTTAATTTGTCTCTCAGTAGCTAACAAATCTAATTAAACACCTAAAAAACTTTCTCTTCCCTGTAAATCAGGAGGATTTTTTTTCCAGTCCTTATTCTGCAGCTGAACACAAAATTCCTGACTGATCCTGAACTCACCCTGATCTGCTGATTGGAGTGAAGAATTAATAATTTTGCCTCTTTGATCGTTGATTGCATCTAACCTGGAAGGAGCTCTAAGTGGTCCAAATTTGTGTGACTGTGTGTGATTATTGTTTGATCTCAAGATGTTATCATTTGTTCCAATAGATGGATTTAAATGAGAAAGAAGTCGGAGTACTTTGAGCCAACTCCACCATTACAAAAACAAATCAGCAGGTGTTGATGTAATTAATGCCCAAGGAATGTGCTTTGCTCCCAGGGGTCTACTCTCCCCTCCCTCCCTGCCTCCCCCTCCTCTGCGTTCCTTCCCTGCTGCAACCCGCCTGTCAATCACACACGGTCCTCTGGGAATCCCCTCATCTGTTGAAAACACTAGAAGCTCTCACATAATGTCCTGAACGTTCCCGCTGAGGAAATTAGCGCCTGATTCTACTGGCTGCTGTCTGCTGGCGCTCTCCTCTCATCCATGCCTGGACACTGCATGGTGGTGTGGAGAGAAAACAGAGCAGAAATGTGTCAGGAGAGAATTACACTTGCACATAAGAGTTAATTACAACAGAATAAAAAAAAGCAGCATGCGTGGAGACTGATGGAGACAGTTTAAGAGTTAGCTGAAATAATCCCTCTGGATGCAGAGAAAAGCTGCACAGTGTACCGTTAAAAGGAGCACAGACGTTGTCTGCTGGGAGTAAGAAAAATGTTAGAACTACAGTTCAGGTGGGCTCAGTACAACTTTACTGGAATTGACTGAGTTGTGGCATCGAACCACTGTGTTTCTGCTGGACGGATTTTATTAAGGCTACAACTAAATTTCTCATACTTCAGTTTATTACACTACATTCCTATCAACCTTAGCTTTACTTTGCAGTGCTAATGAGCAAAAATGAGCATGCTAAGATGCTAAACTAAGGTAAATACCTGATGAACATCAGTAAGTTAGCATTGTCATTATGAGCATGTTACCAAGCTAACATTATCATTTAGCTCAAAGCACTGCTTTGCCAGAGTTCAGCCTCACAGAGCTGATATGGCTGTACATTCCTGTGTATAATTTAGAAAAAATGGACCCAAAAAACAGAATAAATGGAAATGCACTGAAATGCATCCAGCTACGTTTTACAGTCGTTGATGTTCAGCAGAGACCAGAAGCATCTTTTTAGCCTTAAAGCCTATTTTCTCTCATCTTACACAATGCAGAGATTGTGAGCAATTTCAAAGCGTGGGTGAACACAAAGAAATACTGTGGCTGAACGCATCCCGTGTAGACACTGATGGAGGACTGGAACTGCTGCTGGGACTTCACTACACAGCCTATGCAGATGCGGTGAGGGATGTCCCTCGGCTGGAGCTTTTAAGTTAAGATGCAGTTGTCTCATTTTTTTCAGGTGAATGAAAAAAGCGTTTAGTGAAGTGATGTAGTGAAGAAGAAACTTTTTTAGGTTACAGTTGAAGGTGCTGTACGTGAAATCAGCATTTTGGCTCACTTCCTGTCCGTTATCTGCAGTCAGCAGTCCCCTCTCTCCTCCACCACACTGAAATTCTGCTGCCTGCCCCACGAGGGCCGCCTCATTTTGGAGTTCTCTCTCCTATCCTGATTGGATAAAGAGGGAACAGGATACCATGAAGTAAATTCTCTTCTTTACCAACGTTGTTATTATTATATTATTATTATTATTATATTAGATTATTCTAAATAAAACCTAAAACTATGTGTGAAAAAACATTTTAATTAGCTGAAATAAAAATAAAAACTAGATTTTAAGAAAAACAAATAACAACTTAAATGATATTACATACTAACAAAACTAAAATAAGATAAAAATATTCAGGAAATGTCTTTCCTTTGGTGCACATGTTTAATGAGACTGGGATGTCTATGTGACTGTGAGTCAATGTGTTTGTATTGTAACACCTATTCTGAACTTCTGATCTTTCCCCTGACAATACCCCCAAAATATAATAAAAGAAAACTAATATTGAAACAAATAAAAACTAAACTAAAATTAAACATTTTTAAACAATAACCACTAAACTGAAACAAGCAAACCCACTCTGGAAACTAACTGAAACTAAACTGAACTGAAAAAAAAAATTAAAAACCAAATAAATACTAATGAAAAATACAAGAGAGACCCATGTTACTGACGGAACCCTCTATCAGTGATGGCTGCCACAGACATAGAGCTATTTAAAACTTACTTTAACAAAAAAAATATCGCTAACAGCAACTTTAAACACCACTATCGTCCCTGTGCACCACTGCTTTTAACTAACCTTCTCTAATTTACATAAAAGCTTCGCAATCTTGAGGCAAATGGAGGTTTTAAGGTCTGACCTGAGTTTGAACCCTACAAATCCAATCTCAGAAAGATTCATGCTGCGTCTCAGATGCCCCATCACCACCACAACCCTCCCCCTTTATTACAGATAGAAACCCAGTGCAAGGGGAGCCATAAAATAAATGAGCTGGTGTTACCAGATAGCATCTCCTTGAGTACATGCGTTCAGATGCATTGTTTGTGTGTAGCTACTCGGATCAAAAGATGTCACCAGTTTGTGCAGAATGTTGATATTTCAGTTTGATATTTGCGAGCTAGTGGTACCGCTGCTTGCTCTTTATATCCTGCTGCCTATAGGAGAGCCCTCTCTGCAGCAGCTGCGCATAGATAGATCCAGTGGCTGTCACCTGTAATGAATCACTAGCTCTCAGCATCATGTCTGCGCAGCTTGATAAGACCTTCTACTTTCAGCATATCTGTCCCATCACCTCAAACACAGCGAGAGAGAGAGAGAGAGAAGAAAGAGGAGGAAAAAAGGAAAAGGCTTCCTTTCCTCTGTCTGCGTTCTTTTTGGTGCTGCCTCGCCAAACAATCGCATCTCCCCCCCCTCCACGCTAATTAGCATTTTTATTAGCACGTAGAGAGCAAAGTGGATTATTCACTGGACTGACAACCCCCACCCGTCTCCACCAACCCTTTCCTTTGCTGCATGTTGCTGGGGACAGGAAGAGAAATGACCCCCCGACTTCATGCGGAAAAGCAGCAGCGGGAGGCAAATGCCTGGACTTTAAAAGCAGAGCTACGAGGTCAACTGCTCTGTTTCCCCCACAGTCACTTAAGAGAAAAGTCTTTCAGTCATTTCAGTCAGACAGAATTAAACTGGAATCAAATCTTCTTTATTACACTGAGATATCTGGTCTACACACAGCGGTTAAAGACATATCAAATTACCACATTTGATACCAGTCAATGAATGAAATGCAAACACCTCTCCAATGCAAAATGAAGCCTCTATTTAGGCACATTATTGCCTGTGCAATCTAACAGAACCTGTTGTAACTTCATCCTTTTACACTGAAGCTTTATCACGTAATGTTATTCCACAATGTTTATCAGACACTGAGCCTGCCTACCCCAGACACACTGACCATCATAATTAGAGTTAGGGAATGGAAAACTGTACTTTGAGTCTAGTCGAGTTGATCTACAGTGTTGAGTTAATCGATTCCATCTCTGCTTTTTATATACACCTATATTTTATGTGACCTCTCAGTGCTCAGTCGATAGCTGGGAAATAACAGAACCAATTTCAGTCTGAGCTCTGTTACTCCACTGATGTACTTGGAAAGCACCACTTAATGCTTCAGCTGACGTTTAGCAGCTGTGTGTGTTTATTTGTGTGCAACTCTATATGCGTGTGTGTGTGTGTGTGTGTGTGTGTGTGTGTGTGTCCAAGACCAATGTGATATCTGCAGTGTCACCTGGTGTCAGACCAATCTAACAGTACAACAAAAAGGTTTATGTTAATGTGGTGTAATGTAGTTTTTATATACTGTGCAGTTGGCTCAGAGTGCCTGTGCTACAGCTATGCTGCACTAGTTTTATTGTATAGAAATGTAGATGTTTGTAGGATACTGGTACTTTGAAATTGATCTCCGGCATCTACATGGAACAAAGGCAAAGACTTTTCTGAATACAGTGCTCTAAAGTGCCATATAGCTGCAAAAACTAAAGCTGTAGTGATAAACCATCATCACTCTCACCTCTTCTCAGCGTTTGAGCATCTCTCAACACTTCTGGGTTTACAGTCCACAACTTTACTCTTTTGGTTCTCTCTTAACACTCTCATTGACCGACTGACATTTGTTTGAATGTAATGCTTTACTGTGTTGGGGAATACATGCACGAATGAGTGCGAGTGCAAACTGTCTCCCATTTCCAAAGTGCAATGTGTTTTATTCACTCAGCAGTTTCACAAACAAACATTTGACTCCAGATGGCTGAGATCATTTACATCTTTCTCTGTCCCTCTGTCTCTCCCTCCCTGTCTCCAGGTAGCATTGTGTATCTGGGGATGATGTTCGGAGCCTTTTTTTGGGGCGGCCTGTCAGACAAGCTGGGACGTAAACAGTGCCTGCTGATATCCATGTCTTTCAATGGCTTCTTCGCCTTCCTATCCTCCTTTGTCCAAGGCTACAGTATGTTCCTCGTCTGCCGCATGTTGTCTGGCTTTGGGTGAGTTCACTCCTCTCTTCTCTTGAATATTTTCCTACTTTAAAGCCCGTCCTCCTGAGTGTATTAGAGCTCCTCTGAGGGCTCCAGTCTCTCCAGCCTGATCTGTCCTCCCACCGGCTCCTCTGCTGTCTCCTCCAGAGTCAAAGCACATGACAAGAGGTTATTCTAACTGCTTGGCACTAGTCTGTCCTCATCCCCTGAGTGGGGGGAGAAGGAACAAAGCAAAACAAAAACGTTTGCAGAAATGACGTGAGGACAGTGAATGAACATCTGTCCATTTAAGCGCTGGTAGGGTCTGCTTGACTGCCCACACCCCTGATAAATGACACCCACTCCCAGCTCAGTGATATGACATCCCTGTTCATACATGACTTACAAAGGTCACCTCTATATCAAACGTCAAGCTACTGAGCAGGGCAATATACACTAAATTATATGAAACGAGCATAACTGAAGCTAAAGTCCTGCACCTTTTTGCTTTGTGCTTCAGCAAGCCTCGGTCAGAACCTCAGTCAACTTTCTCCTTTATATATAATCACATCTTAAAGGTCCAGTGTGTAATGTTCAGGCTCCATAGGTGAAATGTAATATAATATTCATAGGTATATTTTCATTAGTGTATAATCACCTGAATATAAGAGTTATTACGTTTTTCTTACCTTAGAATGAGCAGTTTGGATCTTGTTTCAACAGTAGCCCAGAATGGACAAACCATAAACTGACTCTAGATAGGGATGTTTGCTTTTTTACACGTTTTGCGACCACCATGGTTTCTCCTTTGTGCTTGGAAGGGGAGGGTGAAGTGAGTGTGTCGCAATCTGCAGCTACACCAGTTGAGTCCAATAAATCCTACACACTGGACCTTAAAGCAATGACGTTATCTAACCAGTCAACTAACGATTGATGTATAGGCTATTAGCCAGCTTATAAACTAGATTGGTTTAACGCTTTTCTAAAACTAGCTTTCAGATGTAACTAATAACTAGCTATCTAACGACTGATTAGCTAGTAGATAAGCTAGTTAACTTAAGATATGACTTTAAAATTTAGTTGTTTTTCAAAATAGACAAGCCTAGCAGATAGCGTATCTAAGTACAGGACAAGAGAAAGTTGACAGAGACTTGTCCAACTGTTATTGGAGCACAGAGCAATAATGGGTGGGACTTATTCTGTGCCATAACATTTTTAATTGGACCAAGGGTGATGACTTAACAGTCCCTCCAGAAAAAGTGAATATAGAACATAATTAAAAAAAAAAAAAACCAAAAATTTAAAAGGGGGGTTATTTTTAAAAACCCCCCCCCTCCCCCCAAAAATAAATTTTTCCAAAAAAAAAAAAAGGGGGGTTATTTTTTATAATAAAAAATTATTTTTTTTTAAAAAAAAAAAAAAAAAAAAAAAAAAAAAAAAAAAAAAAATTTTTAACAGAAAACGTGATTATGCGATCGTGAACATAATTCAAAAGCTGCATAATGAAACTCTTTAAAAATTTATTTTAACAGAAGATGTCTGTTTTGTATAGCTACCTCTGGAAAACAGGAAGCACACATTTTATTTTTTTATATTTTATTTATTCATTTTTACAGAACTTAAAAACGTAGCATATTCCTTTTGTAAAGCTACAGAACTTGTTTGACTCATCAATGTTTTGTAAGTTTGAGCTATGTGTTTATTAAGGTCTGAAATAAAACAAGATGAGAACTTAAATATTCCCAGCACTTTCTGTGCTTATCATAGGAAGTAATAAGAAATGACTCTTTACATTAAGGTAGTAGCCTAATGAGAACAGGGTGTTGGGGAACCACTTTTTTTTCTCTTTTTCATCAAACCGCAGTTTTTGCAAGTTCCCGCATTTTTGCAAGTTCCCCAATTTTTGCAAGTTCCCGCAATTTTTGCAAGTTCCCGCAATTTCATCGCATAAAATTGCATAAATATCCCACATATTCCATCGTATTTTTTAAGAAAACGTGCCGCATAATCAAGGATTTTTGCCCGCAACAATCACAAAAAAACTCATTTTTGTGGAAGGACTGACTTAAGTTGATGCAGATGAGCCAAAATCATAGCATCTACTGGAGAGAGCTGTTATAACCAAGAAAGAGTGAGAAAAAGGTTATTTTCAGGCACCTGTACTAGAGAATCTTAAAGGTTTGTCCATTACAACCCACAGGTCCAGTCTGTTGCACTCAGTCTAATCCGCCTGTTCTAGCAGTAGAGTTACCTGATTTGCACTCAGCTCACTGTTTAATTACAGTCGTATGAGCAACCAGTAAGCCTCTCGGTGTATCTTTGTCTAGAACAACAGCTTACTTAATGGCTTTGTGTTAAATTTTTAATTAGTAGCTTCAGCTTTTATTTCATCCTTTAATTCTAAATCTGTATGAAGGTACATATTTATGGTGGTGGTAAAAGAGATTTATAATTGGGGGAATATGTCAAATTTGGATGGAAATCTGCCTAAACAGATTTCTAAATGAATGCTGGGTTTTCCATTGATTTTACAACCTTAGTCTGGGAGAAATACCATCCGGCATCAAGTGTTGTCGCAAGTTTGAGTAGATTGTGCTTGTTTCATTAGGATTTTCTTTTCCTCATTAACTTTGCTACCATACTCTGTCTCAACAAATCAAAAAGGGTAAGAAAGAAGATTCAAACGACCTATTTGTCAAATCACATATTGGGTTTTAGTGGGTTAGGGTTAGGGTTAGTTAGGGATAAGTCTGTATTAAAATAGTCACTATAACTACATTTTAAGATGGTTAAAAACAGGTTGTTTTGTGCCTTCCAACTAATGTTGGTGGGGGAGAGCACCTTCAGTAGAAAAGAATCAATACTTCTTTGACACAATCAACTGTGTCGTTCAAATGTATTGTACTGTGGTGTTCACTACAAGGCCACTGTATCCAATATGATGTACAGAAATGAATCAATATCTTTAAAAGTAGAATGGATGACACCATGGAAACTGCTCAGTCAGCTTCCATGGTGGTCTGTACCAAGCTGCAATATTTCAGCTACGTTGCCGCCACAAGAACAGATCCACTTGTTGTACAACACAGATCAGACTTTAAAGCTTCTAGTCATATTTCTATATTAACAACGAGTCCAAATACAAACACCAAATTCTGCAGTTCCTGGTAGCTCTATATGGAGCGTTTTAGCGTCTAAGTATTTAGCCCTTATAGAGAGATATTTCTTTGTTTCTTCTGATTACATCATTTCTAAAACTGTGGGAACTGTCCTGAATAATGTCACATTATGACTTTGATGATATCTAATATGAGAAAAAAGATACAGTACTACCATACAGTAGTCAAATGTACTGTAATGTTTATGTTAACAGACTCCATCCCTCAGAGAAAAAATGTTGATTAAAGAAACAAAGAAGATGTGTTTTACTCTAAAGCTGTATACTCACACAAACTGAAAATCGCATTGTTTCATTTTATAATGCATGCTGAAAGGGCTCCAGAGCCCCATTAGCTAAAGAGAAACAAATGGGCAACAACAATGAAATGTAAATACAGCATCCCTTAACACAGAGCAGATGTGTGCATGTGTGCAACATCCTTTTTAAGTTTACCACTTTGCTGTGGTCCAGCACATCACTCCGTCTGTTGAATTCCCTCACCTGTCAGGTGTTTTTTTGAGTTTTTCATCTTCTGTTGTGTTTTCAAACTCTGGAGATGTGAAACAAACCAGGTAGAGAGTCACTGCAGACACAGATGGGCTCCTGCTGACTCGACACCTCGCTGATGGTCCGGTTCAGTGCAGCCACACCTCCCATCAACAGAATGACATGACATTATGTAACTGTATCAACATCAGTCGACTATATGTAAAGGGAGACATTTTCTTTGGTCAGTAAAGGACAACATGATTTCATTCAGCAAATGTTAATACAAAGTTGCTTCCTGATAATATGAGTTTTAAAATAGGCAGAAATAATGTGTGTGATTTAGGAATGATATGATTTCTTCTATGCATTTTATTTTACACATCATAGCCTGCTGCCCAAACCATGCCAATTTTGATCAAAAAGAAACTACAGCTCAGAGCATACTGGCAAAATCAGCCCATCCTCACCAGAACAAGGGCCATAGGTCGATTGTGCAAACAGCTTATTACAACCCATATTTACATTTATTGTTAGGAGGCAACCTCTAGTGGTTGTTACATTCGGTGACATACTATAAAGAGTGAGTGCAGAATGATGTATGTGCAGAGTTTGACACTAGAAGGATGTTTTCACGTATCTGCTGAAAGTGGAAAAGTTTCTCTGAGCTCATTGAAAATCAGTTTTTAAGGGGTGGGGCCTGCGAGCATAATTTGTGACATCACAAATAGCTTGGAAGTCCATCCTGGTCCAATTTGTAACTTATACAAATGTGACGTAGAAACTTAAAGCCACAAGTGCACACACACTGAGAATGGAGTCATTGGCAATCAACTAATTCAGTCATTTAGATTTGAGGATGTGTTGGGCAAAATTACGTTTCTCCTTGATGGTCAAAACATGCCCAGAGGCTTTTTGCATAATCATACCTTGTCTGCCTATTATGTACATGGTATAATGAGTTGTGTGAATTTGTTTCACATTCACAGCTCTGTGCTCGTCTTTTTTCTAAGTGACAAATGGAGAAATGTAACCGCAAACTCTGACTTCTTTTCCCCAAATGATTTTCTGTAACCATAAATCTGTTCTGCATGTTTCGTAAATGTTTGTCATTACACACATTAATATAATTCAAATGAAAGCTTGTGATTGAAGCATACATAGCTAATTACAGCAAACTATATTTGCAGGATTGGAGGAGCAGTACCAATAGTGTTCTCGTACTTTGCGGAGGTGTTGGCCCGGGAGAAGAGAGGAGAGCATCTGAGCTGGCTGTGCATGTTCTGGATGATCGGAGGAATTTACGCCTCAGCCATGGCCTGGGCTATAATCCCACACTATGGTGAGTGACAGCTCTGACCTAATGGACCAGTCATAACAATGCCACATTGATGTCAGCGCCAAACAGCACTTTTGAGTCATTAATAACTGTTTTCCTCAGTGTCACTGTGATTTTCTTCCTGTCTCATCAAATGGTCTGACATTTTGGATGCTGGATTAGAGAATTTTTAAAAACAGTTTCACAAATTGATTTACAGTAAAACGAGAATTAAACAGATAACAGAAAGATATAAACAATGTTACAAAGTAAATAAAAATCATATCAGCTATAATGAGACAACTGACCCTTTTCTCTGCTCAGCTAGCTAACCTAAGATGTGACAAGCCTAGCACATAGTATATCTAAGTACAGGAAAGGAGAAAGTTCACCAAAGTTCGGACTGGGCGGGACAATTACTACCAAAAGAAAACCGTGAGATAAAAACGAGTTCTGAGTTTGTATTTAAAAGAGGGAACTGACATTGACATTCGTGTTGGTGGGGGTGTGGTGTTACAGGAACTCATGTTGGAGTAGCAGATTAATGCATTTAAAGGCTTAACAAACACACACTGCTCAATGGTTTGTAACAGTTACATACATCATTTTACAACTATGGAAAGTTATCACAACAGCCATTATTTGATCTGTTGTTGCGATGATAGTGAGGTAAACAGCTACAAATGCTGTGGTAGAGTTTTCTTAAATCTGAGAAAATAACCCTGATGATGCCAAAAAATAAATAAAATATCTGTTTGCTGCTATATTAATATGTAAAATCTCATATATAACCTTCAAAAACTGTGGAGTACCCCTTTAATATCGGCAATGCAAGAGATAATAGATACAGTACATGGGCCATGTGCAAGAAATGATGGATGAGATATATACTATACACAGAAACAGATACAGAGAGTGTACTGAAACAGAAACTGTAGGAGCAAAATGACTCAAGGTACATCTGCTTTCAGCTCCAGTGACCCAGCCTCCAAACTGCAGACGTTTCCCTACTGTCACGAATCACTCGCACCACTAGTTTAAACATAACTGCAAATGGAGATGGCAATAAAGTTTGAGTCGGCGGTATGGTTCTACTCTTGATGATCCTCCCTGCTGTAGTGATGCATATACATCGCAACATGCTAGATAACATGCACGGAACATTGCAAATAATTCCCTAATCCTGGGGCTTAATTTAGAAATCAAGATCCTCCTGGGTGCACACAAACACAAAGCAGGTGGCAGTGTAGGTGGAGACAATAGCTGCAGCAGAAAAGGCAACAAAGCATATGTCAGCCTACACAGTAAATATGCGCATGAAGTCCTTTGAAATTGGCCACAAAATCAGTATACTAAGATACACAGGGGTGTGGCAGACAAGCTGTCAGCTGACACAGCAAAGAACGAAATGTTCAGCCAGAACTATGTCGCTTTAAATTTTCAGCAACTTTTTACCATCACCGAAACCTCACAGGAACATAAGGTATACTACATAATCACAATCATTTCATGCAATTTTATATGACAGTGCTGGAGGTAGAAAAAAATATATATGGGGAGGAAAAAATAAAAGGTTGGCTGGTATAACAAATCTCATAACATATGGTGAGGGAGAGCTTGAGGATAACAGAGAAGGGAGGAGGTGTGTGTCAGAGGATAAGAACAAAATGAGCGAAATGAAATCAATCTGGTGAGGAGGGGTGTGGACGAGGAAAAGAGGAGCAGAGAAAGAGATTAAGAGGACAAGGGGGAAGGAGAGGTTGAGAGTGCGTTTGATTTGTGGCCCATGACAGGGATAATCGAAAGGTGAAGGGATACAGCAGAGGGCTGAAGGGAGGCAGCGAGAGAAAACAAAGAGAAAGGGGACAGAGTAAGAGAGGAAAGGATGAGTGAAGAGGAAGGGTGTCTTTGTTTGCCATTTTCAGGGCCATGTTGATCAGCTATAATGAAGTTTGCTCTTGGACCCTGGCCATCAGGACACTGTCTGTGAGTGTGTGACTATAATGCGTGAGGCACAGCTTGATTAAGTACCTCGGCCAAGTGGTGTTCTTATCTAGAATAAAGTCACAAGACCAATACAAACTTCATTACAACATGTAAAGAAAACTAGTTGGTGAAGTGTACACACAGTCTGGCGTAAAGGGAACAGCACATACAGTGCAGGGAAGAACGTGTGGTTAAAGACAGAATCTGTTGCCATGGCTTCCCCTGAGAGGATAGCAAAAATATAAAAGGTTTGATTACATTGCCACTCCTATAAGATTGAGTTGTCCTGCTTGAGTTGGCGACACCTGTAACGAAATCTGTTCAAAGATTCCAAAAATGTCTTGTTTTGTTGATGCATTTTTAATGAATAATCATTGTCAGTGTTAACTAAGGCTGCAACCTAAACGTTGACTATTCGAATCAGTTGAGGGACTTTTTTCTTTTTTGCTGCGTCATTGTACACAGAGCAACGCAGAACAACAGCATGGCAGGCTGTAGACTTTTACAAATTGAGTCAAACCTCAAAATGACCTCACTGTGATGGAAACAGAGAGGGCTGATGGAAACGGAGGGCAGTGTGACACAGAACAGTGTGATCTGTTTCTGTTTGCTGCTCTGGCGCTCTGAGCTTCGGTCACGAGTGTTAGCCGAAGTCAGCTGAACTCCTTTTCAACCAGACGCTGGTACAACATCCTGTAGTGCTGTCCACTCTGGCTGACAGCAGCCCGGCAGGAGAGACACTCTGTGGATTTTATACCTGAACGATGATGCTTTCACTGGCTCAATTCCCCAGCAAATAACGTTAGCTCGGATCCGAACTAACATATCGAACAAAGTCACACAATAACACAATCAAACTAACCGATTGCGGCAGTGATGGACCAGCAACTCCTATGTTCTGTGAAATAAAATGACTGTTTTTATCAAATGATTCTGGTAGCTTTGAAGAGAGCATGGATATAACAGCTTCAGTTCCCAGTCAGAAAGGGCTGTGAAGCAGGGAAAATATTCTGAATATAGCATGCACTTAAATTGTTGTTTTTTGTGGGCCTTTCCTTAGGTGGCTCCTGGTTTTCAACAGCATCTTTTTTGTTCCTGTTACTCTGGACAGACCTCACTGTCAACAGTTTATTATTTGGCAGAACATGTAGTTCCAGTGGAAATTCTCCCAAATGCTTTGTCACACCAAACAGTATTTCTTTAATTTATGATTTTCTTTTTCTGTTTTTGCCCACAATAATTCCTGGATAAAAACAAAAAAAATAAGTTATGTTTCATGAGTAAAATGAATGTGTCTACAGGTTCATTAACAGGAATTTGTGTATTGTGCAATAAAAGTCGGTTTGGGGCGGCTCAGAGGTATTTATCTAACGGGTTATCCAACTAATTGAAAGATCAGCGGGCAAGATACTGAACCCCAAACTGCTCCTGAAGGCGCTGCCATTGGTGTGTGAGTGTGTGTGAATGAGAATCAGGCTAGTCACTTTATGATGAGCGACTAGCACTTTGCATGACGCCACCAGCGTGAATCGGTGAATGTGACGTATTCTGTAAAACGCTTTGAGTGGTCGGAAGACTAGAAGGGCGGTAAATGTTACCATCCAAGTAGGAATAGATGTAAGTTTCGATCTTAAAGGTTCTCTGTCTGTTGCCACAAACTTTGTTCATGCGAGTGAGTGTGAGAGTGCCGGCAGAGGATCATAATTGAGGTCAATTGATTAGACGCCAGTGTTTTAACACATTTTTTTTCCAAGATGCAGTGGTGTGTGGGTAATAGGTTCCGCCGCAGTGCTCTTTGCATTGACTGGTGGACAAAGGCCAGGTAACTGTGTGCATATGTGTGTGTGTGTGTGTGTATGTGTGTCATGTTTAAGGTGTTAAGAATGTGATACAGTAAAAGAACTAGTCCACTTTAAGAAAAGAAAACCATACAGCCATTTATATGTGGCGTGTGTGTCGCAGTGTCTTATGTATGTGTGGGTTTGTACACACACCTATGTTTTAAAATTTGTGTCACAGCATTGAACGATGGCCAAGGGCAGTGTGTATGTTGTGTGTGTGAGTGCGTGCTCTGTATGTGTGTATGTGAGCCATGCTCACTTACTGTAGAGTAGGAACATAAATCTCGCTGAGTATCTGAATCAGTCAGCCATCCCCTCCAGTCCATTAAAGCTATAATCCCCCTAATGAGGTTTGTACTGGTACAGGCTGGAGCAGGCCCACAGGCCACACACATACACACACACACACACACACACACACACACACACACACACACACACACACACACACACACACACACACACTCACACACACTCACACACACACACCCTGTTCTGTGTCCATGCTAACATACTTTCTTGTTGCTGATTCTCTGATACAGACTTGGCTGTATGAGTGAAATTGAGACTGGGTGGCTCCATCACGTGTTGTGTTGCGACTTGTTGATGATTGATGTGCTATGGCTCACCATAAATCTAATACTGTATATAATGGTCATAGAATTTGTAATAAATCATGATTTTCTTCCATAGAGAATAATGGAAAGGCGTGAGAACAATGACGTTGACCACTCTTAAAACTTAAGCACACATTAGGCCAGAAAGTTCACTCAATGCTGAAAGGGTCAACACACTTTGGATTTATCTGCTTTTTAATATTTTACGTATTTTTCTATATTCTATATTAGATATCTTAGATATCACTTTCTGAGAAATCACAATCAAACTTGTAGGCTTTTTCTGACTTTATAATGGGACTCAATGGACAATTAATGTCATTACTAACACGACCATGGACACAAAATTATTTATTATAATTTAGTGTGTAAATATTAATTTTTTTTAAGAACACAAATAACATGTCATAAAGTAAATAAAGTGTGCTAATTAGCAAATATGGACACATTTCAGACACAGTTTGTCATTCTCTTCCCTTCACTGGATACAGACACGTGCACATTTTTAAACTGCTGTAACTCTTATCATTTGAACACAGTGTACTCATATTGCATCAGTGTCTGCTTCCTTTCACAGTGTAAAAGGTTCATAACAGTTTATGTGCTTACAATGTCATTCCTCCCTTCAGAAAGACACCCAGTCACTAGTTGACTCAGCACTTTTTAATAATCTCACATACACATAGCTCTCAGTTGTGAGCACCGATACTGCTACTAATACAAATTTGTGATTCTTGCATTACTTCTGCGCTATATTCTTCTACTGTATGTTCTTGTCAGCAAACACGCTAATTTTTCTTCGAAAACATGAGAAACCAAATGTAGGTCATGTCCTTCGGAGGACCTGGTGGCTCCATCTCAACTGCAACAAACTAGCCTCACGGGAACTGAACTAATGAGGCATTCAGGCACTGCTCACTAATTTGTAAAGAAAAAAAAATCACCAGGAGACTGGCCTAAAGTTTTAGCAAAATGCATATACCAGTGCTTAACTGGGATAATGATTCTAAGGTTTAACCACCTCTGCTTTCATTTCTCTGTAATGCATATATTTCCAAAACAGTCCAAGACTGTAACTGTGATTTTTTATCCTCCTATGAGCTTGCAAAACTGTAGAAAAATGTCCATTAAAACTTAAATTCTGTTACATTAGAAGCGATGTCCTTTTTGTAATGTTATAAAATCAGTCATTGGGAGGCAGAAATCCCAAATGATATTTCCTGACTTTACAAGTTGACAAGGATTGATTGAACAATGTGTTAGACAAAGGGGCACAATTGATTATGGATTTTTTGGATAGAACATTTTGTCCCTTAACAAATTATACTCAATATGTGGATTTCTGTGGATCTGAACACTGAACACATGTCTGTGTGTCTCTGTGTGTCTCTCTTCATGGTGCTGAAAAGTGTCAATGATGGTGAAACATTCTAACTCAAGCTTAACCCACTGCATCCTGTAACAACTTCACAGAGCACACTAGGAACCACTTGGAGATGCCCTAACAGCAGAGCAACCACATAGCAGAAACTTGGTGACACCCTGTAGTGCATCAGCCCCTCAGCAACCACATAGGCTGTCCCAAACATGTAGCAACATCTCAGTAATAACCTAAACCTAGTCAACCCACTCAGGCAGCAAGCATCCCTGCGTTTCTAATTTCTGTTGCGATTAATAAAAAGATTCAGGTGAGAAAAGGGTGAAACTGAAAGCTACAATAGGAGAGAGATTAGATTAAGGACTACATACATACAGATGGCAAAGACTGTGCCGTGACACTGAGGAAGAAGTTCACCTGCAGGTTAATGAATTTTACTTGCTTGTTGCAGAGAAACATCATTTATGTTTGTCCATGAGTGTAGGAGACTGAACCATAAAACCTGCAGCACGTCCAACCTTGAATTTCTTTAATGTCTTTCCATCTTATTAGCATTGAGCTCTGGTTTACTGTTGTACTATATCACCTCTGACTTTATTTGTGTCTTTCTATGCGACTGCTTCTTTGTGCAGGCTGGAGTTTCAGCATGGGTTCAGCGTACCAGTTCCACAGCTGGAGAGTGTTCGTGGTGGTGTGTGCGCTGCCGTGTGTCTCTGCAGTGGTAGCTCTCACTTTTATGCCTGAGAGCCCCCGCTTCTACCTGGAGGTAAGAGAGAGGCACAGTATGTTGTGATACTGGCAGCACCATTATCACTCTTAATGACAATGATAATGACTGCTAAGGACATCAGAGAATACCAAAACCTTTGTGGAATAAAATGTTGACGCCAGTGGAGCTGTTGGCGTGGCATTCATTTTCTTTACGTAAGAAAATAAATGTTCATATATCATGGAGTGCATCTTTGCATTAATGCAGAGGTTTTCAGACTGTGAGGCGCCTCCTCAGGGGGGTGCAGGAGAGCTGAAGGAGGGGGAGCATGGAAGGGATAGAAATGAGGCAAAAATGCTGTGTGAGGTGAAGGGGACAAGTGCATGAAAAAAAAAACAAGTGGAAGTTAGTCGCTGTAGTTTGGCTGCTTGCCACTCACCATCACATTCAGCAGTTGGAGCTACAGCAGTGGCTGTGATACACAGCTCATAGAGGCAATTAAGCTACTAGATTAGATACTTAAAAGTTATTAATAGAGTCATAACTCAGTCAAATCTGAGCGCACACACATGATATACGCATTTTTAGATTCAGTAGTGTTTGAAACTTCCTGAAGATATCCTTATCTCCAGCATCCGTACATTCGCTTACAAATCATACAAAAAGATGCTCCAGAGCCTGAGAATCATCAAGTTTTCTTTAGTATCAAAGTCATCCAGCAACAGTTGTCTGTACATCCATGACTACAATGCAAACAGGAGCTCTTAATAGCTAATTCAGCGTACTTTTAATGGTGCCAATTTGCCAAAATGTTAACAGATATCGGCTAAATGTTGTAGCCAACAGCTAACTAACTGACTCCATTCATGAACTGTAATTGAGGGCTAGTATATGGAGGGTCTCTGAGGGGTCTCACACTTTGAAAACTCCTGCATGAATGTAATCTGTAAGTCATGCGCATATATGGCTTTTGTAATTACTGTAAATATGCATTAGTCAAATGCGCTCTGAAGCCAGTCTGAGTAATAATGAGAGCATAAATAGAAGTTAAGATACAGAAAAAAAGCCAGTATGGTGGACTAGCTCCAGTCACTCCAGGTTGATGTGTATTCATACGTACGTTAATAAATTTAACTGTCCCTCAGATGGGTAAACACGACGAGGCCTGGATGGTGCTCAAACAAATCCATGACACCAACATGCGTGCCCGTGGAGAGCCCGAGAGAGTCTTCACTGTGAGTACACTCTGGCCTCTACACTTGCATCCTTCCCACACTGCTGCAGTGCCATCAGCAGGTGACAGATCAGTGTCTCCCCCTGCAGGTGAACAGAATAAAAATCCCCAAACAGCTGGACGAGCTGGTGGAGATGCAGAATGAGTCAGCCAACCCTGTGCTCAAGGTCCTCTTCAAGATCAAGGCTGAGCTCAGAGGAGTATGACTCTTTTTTTTATGTCCTGGTTTGTTTAATACTGAATGGTTATGATGTAAAGATTTAAATTGAGCAATTGTTTTCTTTTTTATTATAGATCTGGTTGACTTTTATGAAATGCTTCAACTACCCAGTGAAAGACAACACTATAAAACTGGCTACAGTGTGGTTTACTCTGTCTTTTGGGTAAGAGATTTTCTGCATGCAGGTTTTTGCACTACTTCTACGCCTCTCTATATTATTTTATATTTTATATTTATATATATATTATTATTCTGTGCTTTCATCACAGTAAATGATGCCCTCGATGATACTTAGCTGAGTCACCACTACTTTCCAGCTTAATAACAGTTTCAATGAAGTCCTTAACACTAAGGCAGATGCTCTTTCACTTATATCCTCTTGATGAATGCCGACAGGTTAGATTGGAAATAGAAAATCTATTTGAGAGTCGGTGTCATTTGGCTTTTTTTCTGTGCTAGCTGCTTTAATGAATTGCACTACGTATACGTCGGAGAGTTTTAACCCTGAGGACAATCTTGTAAAATTAAAAAGAGCCAAACGAAGGCTGTAGGATGTGTATTGTGTCATGTTTTTCCCCCTCAGTGTGTCTTTTATTGTCTTTATTTCTATGATGCTTTTATTTTCTTATTTCTTGTCTGTTGTTTTTCGACTTCTTTGCTCTCACTGCTTCTTGTTCCAACACAGACTCAGTCACTAGTTGGTGGTGCTGCAATAGACCTCCAACCTTTTCAAATTCAGAGAGTGATTACTATTTCATGAATATGTTGCTCAAAACCACTTCAGGCACATAAGATACTGCAAAGATTGCAATGCATGAAAACAGTCAAATTCGGAAGAAGAAACAGCAGCAAACACCACAGGCTTTTGGACTTTTTCCCACCACAAACTATATGTTATACTGAAGTAATACTTGATTTGAGGGAGGACAAAAACAATAACTAATGATTAGATAATTGGTCGTTAATAGTTTTGTGCCACTCAGCAGCTGGTTCAGAGTTATCCAGGAACGAAGAAAGTGGTCAGATTGGCTTTTTCACAGATATTTATGAAGTAATCACTACCTGATGATTTCCCAGTCAGTACTAATCATCATTTATTATATATAGTCCTCCATTCAGAGTTATGTGTACTGACACACAGTTATCCTTAAATCATATATACTTAAAGGATTAGGGTAATCTAACAGTGTGGAAATAACAAAAAGAACAAACAAATATGACAATAAGTCTACAACGTGGTGATGAATGCAAAGCAATCCGGACCAGAATCAGCTGAACTAGAGCGGCCTATGTCAGTGACCACGTGTAACACACTTCACTACGGAAGCTGTTGCTGTGTCTAGGTTCTACGGGCTCTCTGTGTGGTTCCCGGATGTCATCAAGCACCTTCAGGCCGATGAGTACGCCTCCAGAGTGAAGATCCACAACAACGAACGCACTGAAGACTTCACCTTCAACTTCACCCTGGAGAACCAAATCCACAGAAACGGAGTCTTTCTAAATGACAGGTAATTCCAAAAGAAGACAACAAACTGATTTCTGTTTGGATTTTAGTATTTCCAGTGACCCCAGTTTTTCTCAGACAAAGGGATTATTGATTATAAAAGGATAGAAATCATCTGCAGTGTTACACGTTGTGATGCAAACCCCTGAGCCTCCCTCTTGTCCCGTGGTGGGATAGCAGTGCTATTCGTCATTCCCGCAAACAACACACCGCTGCCGGTAATATTAATCCTGCCTCCTTTATCTCCCACAACACCAGGAAATTAAAAGACTTATCTCTCTCTCTTTCCCTCTTTCTCTGTCTCTCTCACCCATACACACACGTCTTTTCTTGCTCATCCTGGTTATGTTTCTCACTTACACAAAGGCCAGGGAGAAGACGCATCGATGCGTTGTTTTTGTTCTCCTTACTGGAGACCAGAATGTACGTTTATTAAGAGATAAAATCAAGACCAATAGCACGATACCGTGGAGAGCAGAATGCAACAGATTGTATTTGATCAATAACAGACTGGTAAGCCCTGTCATATTACTGTGGACATGCTGGTCCTTCATTATTAGGAAAATGTACTTAAAGTATGCAGAATGGACCTTTTCAGCTTGTTACATTATACATTATAGTATTGTATCCATGTTATTGATGCATTAACATGTAACACATAACATGTTGATATTCACTCACTTTCTGATTGCTTTATGCTGTTTATTGGTATGTATCTATAATAATGCTTTGAAAAAAACTATAAGGATGCACCAATAGGGAAACTCTGCATATACTGATGTTTAAAATAACAATATGGCTGACAGCCAATACCAATTTGTTTGTTGTTTTTATTAATTCGCCCTTTTGAGCCAGGGAAGCAAAAGAAATCTACACAAATAAGCATCTCTGCATTGTTGCAGCTCAGTTTGTTTCTCTTTGTATTTGTGTTCAATTTGTGCCAGTGCTGGAAAACGGAGGGGATTATTTCTCCAATATCTGAGTTGGAAACGACCAACACAAAATTTAGCCAGTGCAAAATAAATGCGGCACAACAAACAACGACCACTGTCATTGGTTTGGCTTCATCAATTTTTATCCTTTTTGTTTATAAAATAATATCCATTTACGTTTCTTATTAAGAACGGACATAATTCAGTATCAACACCTTTGTTGTCAGAAATATGTTTCCAATGCCTGTTATTCCTGCTTTACTAGTTTCATGGGTATTAATTTCCTCCTGTGCCACCTCCACTTCTTCTCTCCTCATCCCAGGTTTATCAGTATGAAGTTCAAGGCGGTCACATTCATCGACTCATCTTTCCTCAACTGCTACTTTGAAGATGTCTCCTCAGTTGGCTCTTCCTTCAAAAACTGCACCTTTGTAGACTCCTTCTTTTACAACACAGGTGAGTCTACACCTGAGAGACACACTCACATCCAGAGCATTCCTCTCCAGTTCCCCGTACTGAGGTATTTCCTTCCACCCTGGAGAATCCTATTATACTGCAGGTGCCTTACACATAAGTCTCACTCAATCTCTTTCTGACAGTTCATTTTGGGTCTAACGTCCGAGCTTCTGGGGAAGAAAGAATGGGGTTTGAGCATTTATGGCTTTGCTTTATGTCACTAAATTACTGCTTAACCTCTCTGCCCCGGCACAGATTGCCTTTCTGAACTCATGCGACTGTAGTTAACACAGAAACTGAGCGAGGCTGGGCTGCAGGGCACTGAAAATGACAATTTCTAACACACACAAACACTCCTGGAGTGATGCTTTTTATTCCATCTGATGTTTTAGATGCTTGCAAATATTCAAGACAGTGAGGTACATAAACACAATTCTCTGAGCAGCTTTTAACTTCTGACTTTCCCCTCTGTAATTCATCACAGCATGTTTTGTTTTTGTTTTGATAAAGACATTGCGAACCAAGTCGTCTGAATCAGCATCCACAACATCGAATCATACCTTTAAATCCAGGCTATGTTATAAAAGTGCAATCCAATCATTTTGGGGCTGACAAAAACACAAGCAGGAAGAAACGGAAAGGAAGGGCAGGCATTTAAAATGTTCTGAGAGGAACTGGAGCTGAATCAGACCTTGTGGGAGCACAGGGTGGAAAAATAGTTCCCTCCAGCACTCAGGAAAGCGCTGAACATGGAAACAGTAAGGGCACATCAGGTTGCCTGTAATGCCCCATGGGAAATGAAGTCTCTTTGCCCCCAGCAATGGGTCCCTAGAGAGCAGAGGATAAAGAGAAACGAGGAGAGACAGAATGAGAGGGGAGGGAGGAGTGCGTCATGAGAGCAGAGGTGACAGAGGAAATGTCTCCTCTTTGCTGCAGCTGCTGACGTTTATTAATACACCGTTTCTATTTAGAGAGAGAGCCAACAGACATTTAAAGTACGCTGTAGTAACATATGGATATGGTTGAGAAGGGTCTTATTAATCAAATTACAAATGCAAAAGTACTTGTTCACGGCCGATAGTTAACCGATAGTTAATTAGCCTCATTAAGATTTAGCTTAGCTTAGCATAAAACACTAGGAAACAGCTAGTATGGCTCTGTCCAAAGGTAACCATAATCGCTCAAGCTCACTAATTAACACATTAAATCGTGTTTGTGTAATCTATACAAAAAGAAAAGAGTGAAAACACCATGTTTTGGCTTCATGACCATTTCCCAGTCGGGAGCAGTTACAGTACTTTCTGGAGTCTTGACCATGACAGAAACTCTTTATGCTAAGCTAAGGTAACTGTCTCCTGGCTCCACTTTGTCACTCCCAAAATATCCCACTACTCCTTTAAGGATTTCGTTTCCTACAGTGTCTCTGTCACCTCTTAGAACTTAGAACACTGTGGAAGACTCTCTTTAAGACCTTTTATTGATTTACATTTAGAAAAGCTATGGCTTGGACTCAAGATGTCGTTTTTTTCTTTCTAAACATAATTAGGTAGAAGAAGTAAAAGGGAGCATTTTACAGTCCTGCGAGTGCTTGGGAAGCTCATTTGGGGCCCCTGGTGGCCTGGGGCAGTTGTCTCCTTTGTCTGGTTAGTTATCCAACCTATGGGTCTAAAACAATCAATGAAACTTAACCAGAAAAATAAATTAATGAGACAGAGACATCCATATTAATGGATCATTTACTTTTGCATTTAAGAGTCCAGTTTTTGCTGTTTTATATCCAACTGAAGGTCTGAATGCATCATCTACACACAGTTTAAAAACTCTACTCTTGTCTCTCACATTTTCAGATATTGACGACACCAAACTAACAAATTCAAGAGTGATCAACAGCTCCTTCCACCACAACAAGACAGGCTGTCAGATGACATTTGACGATGATTACAGTGCCTACTGGGTCTATTTCGTAAACTTCCTTGGGACACTGGCTGTGCTGCCTGGAAACATCGTCTCTGCCCTCCTCATGGACAAAATAGGACGCCTTAGCATGTTAGGTATGATGTAACATTCTCTCTGGTCACTGAGGACAATTTGGGCTATGAATAGCAGCCTTTTCTCCTGCAGAATGTTTTGATGTCTTTTGATGTGACCTGTGTATCTGTCTGTGGCCTCTGGTGACGTAATTGAGGCTATTTTGTGTCCGAGTTGTGAAAGATGTGTTGTGTTGTGTCCCGCAGGAGGCTCCATGGTGCTGTCAGGCATCAGCTGCTTCTTTCTTTGGTTCGGCACCAGTGAGTCTATGATGATCTTCATGCTCTGTCTCTACAACGGCCTCAGTATCTCTGCCTGGAACTCCCTGGATGTGGTCACTGCTGAGCTGTACCCAACAGACAGGAGGTGAGGGTTGCACTCCCTACAAACAGAGCTCAGTTAAATCGTTACAGCTCCCTCAGCTAGGATCCTTACTGTTACTGTTACTTTATATATTCTTTATTAATATTTTTACACTCTTTCTACTTTGTACTTCAACTGCTGCACAACAATAATTCTCCCAATTTCCCTGTGGATAAATAAAGTTCTGTCCTATCTGAGCTTATCTTTACCTTTAATGAAGAGAGAGTTTATTTTAAAGCTATGTAGCATTATTACATTTCCCTTATCAGTAACTGACCCTTCCTAAGTCCCACCCTTTTTGCTCTGTGCTCCGATAAGAGTTGAGCGAGCCTCAGTCAGAACCTCAGTCAACTTTCTCCTTTCATGTACTTTAGATATGCTATGTGCCAGGCCACGTTACTACACGAACAATTTACCGTAATTTTTCAGAAACAAAAGCAAGCTGTTCACAAATGAAATGACACAGACATACATATCTGACTCTCTCCTCTGTGTCTTCCTCTTGTTTTCAGGGGCACAGGATTTGGCTTCTGTAATGCCATGTGCAAGCTGGCAGCGGTGCTGGGCAACCTGATCTTTGGCTCACTGGTTGGCATCACCAAGGCTATCCCCATCCTGCTGGCATCGTCCGTGTTGGTTGGCGGCGGGCTGGTGGGGCTCCGACTGCCAGACACACGTGCCAATGTCCTCATGTAAACCTCAACACAGAACAGTATGTTGTTTACCAGGTATTTACTCAGTATACTGAATAACATGATGATTTGTGGACTGATTTATTTGAATATCACCGAAACAAGCTGTTGGCTGTCATCCTTCTTGTATTTATTATTTGATAAATAATGTTGACTGTGTTCACAAACCCGCATACAGGAGAAGTGATTGTCTTTTTTTGGTATTTCTGAGTTAAATACCTGGTAAATAATAAAGGATAGTGAAATGCAGTTTAACTTAACAATTAGCTGTAGATATAAAGAGTTTAAAGACAGGAATTCAAGATAAAAAAGCTGTTCAGACACAAGTTAGAATTATCAGTGGCGATAAAACTCTGCATATCAGCAGCTCATTATCTACCATGGGCTGTTTCACACATGCAACCCACAAATGCATGTGTCAAAGCTGCAAAAGGCTTGGATTTCTGACAATTGTTCCTTTCCAAATCCTGCTCAGTCTTGCTCAGATTAAAGGAATAGTTTGACATTTTGGGAAATAAAGTTACCCCCAGCAGCCGTTAGCTTAGCTTAAAGACTGGAAAAAGCTAGTCTGAAGTACAGTAACAAAATACACCAACCAACACCTCTGAAGCTCACTGAAGAGATAGTGACAGAGACAAAGGTTGCTCAGCAACAACAATAGCAACAGTAACAACTATACAAGTAGAAATGTCTAATAATAGGAATGATGATAATGATCATAATGGTAAATGGACTGTTCTTATACAGCGTTTTCTAGTCTCCCAACCACTCAAAAGTGCTGTACACCACATGCCACATTCACCCATGCACCCTCATTCATACGGTGATGACAAAGGCCATCACAAACGGAAAGTAATTCATTCACACACATTCACACAGCGATGCACAGCATCAGGAGCAATTTGGGGTTCAGTACCTCGCTCAAGGACACTTTGACAAGCAGCGGGAGGAGCCGGTGATTGAACCGATCTCGATACGTTGAGATGCATCGAGAATCGTTGTGCATATTTTGAAGTCAGTGAAGATTCACACCTCTAGAGGTGCTTGTAGGTGGATTTGGTTGCCTTTAAATATAGCTTGATATTTAGACATGAGAGTAGCATCGATCTTCTCATCGAACTCTCAGCAAGAAAGTATGTAGAGTTCAATAAAATATCAAACTATTCCTTTAACTACAAACTATTTTGTAATTGTGTATGTGATTATGCTTGTTTCTCTGTATTTGTGTATATTTAGTAATTTATTATTTCTTCTTTATTGCTTCACCAGTGTGCTTTTATGTTTTTAAGCCAGAAACTGAAGGTGCTTTTGACCTTTGTTTCTAATCAGTATTCCACTAATGGTTGATGATGTTCAAGCCTTTTGCTGCAACTTGCAAGAATGATAAGGCCATAGAAAAAAAAAAAAATCAATATAGTAGTTTAGTCAAAATCGGCAACTTCAGCAGCTACATTTCTAAAGTGAAAAGAAGTTTACATTTTCTGCTTTTTACAGTAAGAGACTTTTGAGATTGGAAACCTTTTGTCTGAATGCTTCCTCTCTCCCTCTCTCGTGTCTGTGTTGTGTTCGTCTCGTGGCGCCGAGCTCACCATGAAGGGCTTTGCTCTCCGTTGCAATCTGATCTGTCAAGAAGAATTTATACTCTGCTGTTATAATCTGCTCTTCTCCTTGTCTTTTTTTTTCTCGCGCTCTATCTGTCTCACCGTCTCGGTTTCCTCATAGTGTCTCTCATCCAGTCTCGTCCTCTTGCTCTGTTTATCTCTTCCTGCCTTGCTGCTGCTCCCTCCAAAACTCAAAGGCCTTTCTCAAATGTCGTGCCTCTCTCTCCATTGAGCCCGTCTCTCCTTCCAAACCTTGCTGGAAGCTTTGCTGCTCTGTCCTGCTTCTATTTTTATTTATGTTTTTTTGTCTCTCATCTCTTGATACTGCACAGTGCATGTATGTGTGTATTTGTGTGTGTGTGTGTGTGTGTGTGTGTGTGTGTGTGTGTGTGTGTGTGTGTGTGTGTGTGTGTGTGAATGAGTGGGTGTGTCCAGACAAACCCCTATAAGATAAAATGACCATATCCAGAAAGCCAAGTTTTTTTTTCATGTTTTTTTCTATACCGAGGAACTGGGTGTTTTGGAGGATTTGAACAATATGATAAAGTGAAATTAAAAGCCATGTTTAAAGGATCAGTTCACCCAAATTCCAAAAAACACACAATATATTTAATAGCCATGCAGTTTAGATGCTGAGATTTTAGCCATCAATATAATGGAGGTAAACAGTTGTTGAGATATTTCACTAAAACCACAAATGTTGACCTCATGGGGTCACCAGACGAAAGGTCAGGGGTCAGGGAGATATTTCGCTCCAACCGGCATTGCCACCCCTAGTACAATGCAGCAAGAAAGAAATTCACAGGCAATATGCATTTCTAGAAACGGCATCCTTACTCTGGTTAATCCACAGAACGTACACAATTTCTACGGGCAGTATTTTCTTTATGGAGACAACATCCAGTGAAAACTGTTTAGAATGATGTCAGTGGAGATGTTTCTGGAAAGACACATTTCAAAAATATCATAGTTCAAAGCTGTGAGCACCACAAACATATTCCATTCACCTCCACTGCACCGAGAAAAAATATAAAAATAAAACGAAAACTATCTGCATGGCTAAGTACCACTTGAGCTAAATAAGAAGATGTGTTGTTTTGTGATTGGGGTGAACAGACCCTTTAAAACCTCTAATGAATGGAACTCTTGCTGCGACAATGTCAGTGCTTTGATGTGAAGATGTATTAGATGATTTATAAGATTAAAACCCTGAAACATTTTCTTTTCTGGGTTTGTTCAATCACACAGAAAAGTCAATTAACTCAAAAGTACAGTGCTGTTTCATTCAGTTGTTCTCCAATCAGTTTTATGATGATGATATTTATTGTCAACATAGAGTATGTGATGTTCTCTTGCGTATATTTCTTACTCTGGAAAACAAATTGGTCTGGTACATGACCTCCTACATGCAGCTATTTCCTTTTCCGATTACATTCTTTCAAATGAAATGCAACTTATGTGAATCTGGTGTCCTGATGAGTGTGTTTGATGCTTTATTTCTGTCTGCTCGTCTCCACCTGTGCTGAACAAACTCACTATACATCACTGTTTCCAAAAAGAAATCCTGCATGTTTGTTACTGAAGTCCTTCTGTTGTGTGTGCTTTTTTCCATTTTGGTGTCTTTGCTGTTCCTCCGCAGTGGGGGGGAAACAGACATGTGATTCCCGGGTCAAAGGTGAATGTATCATTCTCGTGTGTTGTCAGATTTGTTGTGGACAGGTGTTGATTATACTGAGTTGACTTCTAGGTCATTGTGAAAGGGCATGCCAGGGGTGAGATGACTGTACAAGGTGTTCTCCAGCAGGGGTGATCAAATCAGATTTTTGGAAAAGGTTTTCCAGTCAGATTAATCATTAAAGTCACTGAAGCAGGATTGACATTGCCAGTGTTTGAGATTTGAAAACCTCTGCTGTCAAACAATATATGGAAGTGTGTGTAAAAACTATTAACTGTCCTTGATATGATTTATTTTGATAACAAAAGGCTCAAGTGAATGCAGCGTAAAGGTGGATTCCTCTGGTGTCTACATATTGAATAAAGAGTTTCATTTGAACAGCTGTGGGGTTTTTTTATTTATCATAATCTGTGTCCAAATATGGCTGCATCCACTTGCACCAGTAGATGGCACCATTTATACAAAGTGAAACAGGGAAGTGTGTCAGTCAGGTTTTTAAACTTATTCAAAGACTGTTATGGAACTTTCTGACTGCACGCTGTACAGAGTTTTGTCAGTTTGTTTTGAGGCCACTCAAGAAGAAGTCTTAGTTTAGTTTATTTGATATCAGTGGTGTTTCTGGCCCATTCAAACTACAGACTGGGGCCAGATGATCATCAGAAAGCATCAGTGTTGGTATTGACCAGATAATGTTAATACTTTCATTGTCTATTTGCTTGGTAGTCTAGTTAGTTAGAAACAAAACAAGAAGGAAGACATTTTTTCACACAATTAGAGTCCAGTAGCGTATTTCCTACTAGTTTACACTTCCACATTTCTTTTTTTTTTTTAATTATGGTGGTGACTTATTAAAATACGTATTGTTTTAATGTGCAACGGTAGATAAACTTATTCTACTTCCTGGCACTGTAGAACCTAAAACAACATGTTCGTGTTAAACCTCATCAAGTAGAACTCAGTAACACCGGCTGTTTGGACCTGACTTCTCCTAACCCTACAAAGAGAGTCTTTAGGATACTCAGGAGCTCTGTTGTTTTACATATTACACACCTCACTGTATTATAGATAGACAGCCTGTGCCTTAACCACCCCGAGCTGTTGTAGTTTGCCAATTTGTGCTCTTGGGTTCAAGCCCAACACAGCCCCGACTAACTGGTTCTGAGAGATCTGTGTGTGATAAAGTGACTTTCCCAGACCTTCAAACTTCAATATTATGTTCCCCACCCTTACTTTAGCATGTTGGCATGCTCACATTTGCTTTTTAGAAGTTAACACAGTGTACAGCTGAGGCTGATGGGAATGTGTTTTTCAGGTATTTGGTGAAAAAACAACCATAGCAAACAAATTAATAATAGACCTGATAATGATAGAAAATTTAAAGGACCAGTGTGTAGTGTGTGTTTGTGTGAATCACTCGCCATCCAAACATGTAGGAGAAACTACGATGGCCATGAAACTCGCAAAAAACACAAGAAAGGCCCTATCTATAGCCAATGTTTGGATTGTCCGTTCTAGGCTACTGTAGAAACATGGCAGGTCAACATGGTGGATTCCATGGAAGAGGACGTGAGGCATCTGTAGATAGAAACGTCTCATTCTAAGCTAACGAAAACCCAACGATTCTTATTTTCATGAAAACATACAAATATTTTATATTCCATCCCTGCCAATAGATTCTCATACATGTGAAGGACTTTTAAGAATCGCCAAAGCTATTACAGCTCAGCCTGAGGGGACTATGAACGTCTGTGTCAAATTATGATAATCCAACTTTTCACTGACCACAGACGTTCATAGTCAAGTATTTCAGTGTGGAGTCCTTACAATAGCCATCGCACTTCCTGCAGGCCTTTTTCAGAACATCCTGTATGTTAAACATAAAAGGCTATTCATTCGAAATACAAAGAATGTCCTTGTGAATGGAAAGGCATCATCAACACTTAATGCTTGCTTAAAAAGTATTCTGTTTCCTTAAACACAGTGCAATGTTAACAAAATCATACAATTGGTATATTTAGATTTTAGCCACAGACATTATATTTGTTTCCAGACAGATAAAGTCAAATTTTTTTCCAGTCAGTGGTGTGGCGGTGTGTCACCCTATAGCTGTCACAGGCTGCACAGGAAATACCAATTCAGTGACACAGAAGGGATGTGGTGGAGTTAGTTAATGTTCTTTTTGGGGGACTCAAGGTGGAAAGATGATACAGACATCAAACACTAAACAGCTTCGAAATAGTTTCTGTTTTAATCAGCAGACATCATATGTGATAACAGGGATACACCAGTGGCTTTCATGTTATTTTTTTCCTCCAAACTCTACAGAATGAAAACATTAATATCAACATTACTTTACTTTCATATTTTAAACACATAAATATATACATTCATATATTTACAAACTGTCATTTATTTCCTTTATTTGTCACGGACACACACACAAGAAAACTGTACAGCCACAGTACCAGTCAAAAGTTTGGACACACGTTCTCTCTCATCGGACAGTATATACAAATAAAAAAATATTTACATTTAATGTCTTTTTGCTTTCTCTTTGGATTCCAGCCACAGAGAAAACCTCCCTCTAATCACCTCCCTCTAATTCAGTTGCAAAATCAAACCCATTTTTGGTACAATCTGAATCTCTTCTAAACAGTTATGCTCAGGCTAGTGCCTTTAAAGGGCCTGAAGTAAAGCCTGGAGCCTGCAGACTTGGACATGATGAGAAAGAGAAAGGGGTCCAGACAGGCATGGAGGCAGCACAAACACACCGCCACTTTAAAGTACAAATACAAACTCTCGGTTCCATTTGCAAACAGTTGCACATAATGGAGGAAGTGCAGGATTCCAGCAGGAGTAAAACACACCAGAAAGATGACAAACACCAGTGAGCTGGCCTTGATGTACATCGCCCAGTCCAGGTTTGATCGATTGAGCTCACAGACGATACGGCTGTAGCACACAACCGTGACCACCAGCGGCACCAGGAGGCCGAAGATAGTTAGAAACAGGTTGTAGTAGAGCAGGAAGATGTGGGATTGCTCGTCCAGAGGCAATACGTCATGGCAACTGATACTGCCCAAATCAGAGAGGAAATAGCTCTGCTGGACGATGAGCTCGGGGAGGACGGCGGCAACAAACGCCCCCCAGACCGCCACGCTGACTCTGGCAGTGCACATCCTCTTGGGGAGACTTTTGTACATGAACGGGTGCACTACAGCCAGGTAGCGCTTGATGCTGATGCAGGCCAGCGTCTGGGCCGAGCAGTAGAGGTTGCCATAGAAACAGGCTGTGACCACTCGGCACGCAGCCTCTCCGAGCACCCAGTTGTTTCCATGGAGATGGTAGTGAGCCTTGAAGAAGAGGGAGAGGAGGAGGAGGAGGTCGGAGAGAGCCAGGCTGCAGTAGAGGATGGCAGAGGACACCTTCCTAATTTTATTGGCCAGCATGCACAAGATGGCCACGTTGGCTGGGATCCCGACAGTAGCGACCAACATATAAATAATGGGGATGACCCGAGTGGTCAGGGGACTGCGGAGGTACCCTACTGTGCTGTTGCTTAGTAACAGCAGTCTTGGAGGGGACTGAGATGAAATGGGAGCTTGTGTCCCATTTAGGAAATTGTCCTCTGGGACCCCTTTAAATGTTCTGGGCACAGGAACCACTGAAATGTAGTAGAAATAGAAGCATCAGTGAATGTACTTGTAAAGTTATATTCCACCACTGCAAAACTCCTTGTGTGCCAATAAAACTGATTCTGATTAACAGTTTAGAGCATAAATTGCAAAAAATGGCTTCCTAAAACTAGAAGAAATCCCCCCCAAAAAAACTAAATCCAAGGTGACATCTTCAGATCACTTGTTTTGTCGAACCAACAAACCCAAAGATGTTCAGTTACACAAGACAAAAAAATATCAAAACAGCTGCCAGTTATATTTCTGTCCGTTCACTAAACAATACACCAATTGTTTCAGCTGCAATCCTAATAATAAACCATCTTGTGTCTCAGTAGACTGTGTTACAGTGAATCAGTGACTGTCACACTGTGCAAGTTGTAGCCTGTTGTTTCCATTGAGTCCATGTTAACTTAGAGATCAACCCAACCGGAGAAAAGTTATTTATTTCACTGAGAGCTATCAGCATTTAATATACAGTTAACACATGCAATGAATATTAAATAACATAGTTAACATTATCACAATAAGTTCATTGTAAGTTTAAAAAAGTATATATAAAGTAAATATGATCAAATAAATCTACTCATCTAACACAGAAGATTTTTTCTGAAACTGAACTTTGAAGTGAATCTCTTACCTTTTTTTTGAAGCGTACCACTGAAACAGAGAACAAAAGTAATGAAAAAAAAAAGTTTCCACATGTTTTCTTTTCACTGAACAGCACCCACAGGAAAATCTCTCTTCTCTCCGGTACCGTCAGCTCAGTTTCAAATTTTTCATCGTCCTTCAGTGTCACGTCTGTCTGCTGCTGCCCTGTGGGTGTACTCAAGTCACAAACACCTCCCCAAACCTACCCAGTTGAAAAGAATGTGGATGTCCTTTGGTTTCTTTTTTAACATGCACTTTGTGTGCAAGTGTGAAGTAACACCTCCACCCACAACCTGATTACCATTTTATTTATGCCATTGTTTATGTATATTTTCCACAATCTATTGGTTGTGTTAAAGCTTTTCGTAACATTTTAATCTATTCTGAACTGTACCACTTGTTCAGATGATTCACTGACACTATAGTGAATGATATATTGCTCTATGTTACATCAGATGGAAATGTACAAATCTAAGTTTTCATACATGTCTGCCTGATGCCACATTTTGGAAACTTTTTGGCACAAGAATGTAATGTCTGGAGGGGGTGTAGCGAGGTAATAGACGGAAAGAGGCCACACCACCAGGAAATGCCTGTCCAAAGATGATAAGCTTGTCCAAACATGAACAATTTTGTTTAGTCTTCACTTCAACTCTTTTTTGTCTTTTTAAAATAGAGATGTGTCATTAGAGACCTGCCATATTTTAGTTCATACATACACATACATTTCCCTACAGCTGTGGGAGTAGATGTCCTTTATGATAAGGCCAATTCAGGTTTTCTGCTTTTTTTAAATCTTTCATATTTACAGGAAATGTTGTCTGCTTGAGTGATATAACCTTCAGGACATCAGCAGCGTTTTTATTTGCACATTCCAGTAACCATGTTATTATTTGAAATCCAGCTGATCACAGATGTGACCTATGTCCTTTTTTTAACTACTCTGTTTGTCAGTGAGGTTCTAAGCACCAGCAGCTGTTTGACCTCACATTCACCACAAACAGATATCTGCAGTTATGTGAGATCCATTCCGCTCTGGTGACGTCATTGCCAATAAAAACATCACAGAGGACTCAGACTGAGACCAGATGAATGCATCTGCAGCGCACTGCATGTCATGTTCCCCATGAAAACAAGCAAAATATAAACATGTTTGTTGTTTCCATATTTGATGAGAAGCCGCATGATGTCAAAGAGGTTGTGTTTCCTGTAAGCAAAACTAGTTGAAGAGTCAGCCTGGATCACAAGTTCAACACAAGTAATCTTTTACCAATTAAAAACGTTTTCATTTTGCCGATAAATTGATACTTTTTAAGATGGATTCATAAACACACAAAAACCCGAAAATGAGAGCAACGTTCATTCACTGTTATACATCAGACATCTGTTTCAGGCCTTTTAGAGAGGAATACATCCTTCCTTTCTGTTTGACGTCTTCAAAGGACATCAACGCATCTGCAGCACACGCCTGTTTCCTGTAGCATTAGCAGTCATGCAGTCACTTCATATGCCAAAATACTTGAGGTGTCTTATTTTGAAATATATACAAGACTACAGGTCCTACCAGCCTGATTTGCACTTTGGCCCATGATTCACACACAGACTGTAAGCCTGTGACACATTAAAGGTGACTGTGTCTCTGTAAAGATTCATTCAATCTCCCATAACTCTCCCAGGTTAGTGATAAAAACACTAAACATGATTTGCATGCTGGTGTGTGTCTGTGAGGTTAAAAAAGTAAGTTAACTGTAACTGTTTGAAAGAAATACCCATTTTCCCACAAGAGGGCAATATTCTTCTTTATAATAAGACTATTTCATTTCCATTCCATCAACTTAATATCATCATAATTTTTCTTTCTTATCGTTCTATTGTGCATAGTACCCAAGAATTTGCCACAGTATTGCCATGTGAAAGAAAGTGTTAAAGTAGTTCAACCCTCCCTCAAGGCACATGTATGAAAGACAATTATTAAGAATAATTTCCACATTTTAATCCTTAAAAAGGCATCTACTACCTCTACCTCATTAGAATCCAGAATCTATGAATATGCCAATTTTGTTCATTTCAAGTTTTCCTGCTGGACACAACATGTCAGTGTAAAGTTTGTTCTCAGTGTATGTGCACTGCAGGCTTCAAGTTTCTACATCACACTTGTATAAGTTGCGTATTGGACCAGGGTTGACTTTGACGCCACGACAGGTTCATACTTGATGGTGTCACAAATCATACTTATAGGCCTCGCCCCTTGAAAATACAATTTTTATTGAGCATAGAGAAACTTTCCACTTTCAGCATGATGAATGTAAAAACATGCTTCTAGTGTCAAACTCTGCACGTACATCATTCTGCAAAGTGGAGATCAAACATCCAACTGTAGGAACAAGAAGAAAGAGTGAATGGAAGGGGGAGGGGCTTTAAAAAGTCTGATGTCAAATGTCTGTGTGAAATGTGAAAGGCTTTCTGATGAACCCATATATTATCTCCCAACTTTGCAGTTATTTTTCAGCTTGTTTTGATTTTATAGTTTTGTTCAGTAAACTCTCCAGCAGGAGACAATGTTACTAAAAAACTAAACTAAAAGTAACGGCAGACAGAGGTCAATAGGTGCTATGTAAAGGTTGCAACCATCCCGCACTGATGCATTGTTTAATTTGGTGACGGGAAGGAAAGTGATAATTATTGCACAGCACTTTGTCATAATCCTGATGTGTCACTGTGGTTTTGTGACTGGTATGCTTGTCTATGGCTCCATGCCAAAGACTGTCTTTGGCTAAGAGAGCAAGTTTTAACTAGGGAGTGTGAGATATGGGACAGACGATCACTTCCCAAAATTTAACATTATAAATAAAAGAATGTTTTTCTCCTCCTAGAGAAAATAAGTTTGCATGGAACTCAGCACTCCTTGCTTTTCCTTTTACTTCAAACAGTTCTGACACACTTTAACAAATATTCTTGACCTTTGTCACGCAGGGAAATTAATCATCTTCAGCATAAAACAGAACAGATGACTTTACAGTGACTCTACAAAACAGAATGTGCTTTTGTCAACGAGATTCTGTCTACAGTGGAAGATTGTTTTACTTAACCCCAAATCAAAAATTTAATTTAATCTTAGGAACATGTATCTGCTGAATGGTGCTGAACGTGCTCAATTTTATGGCCAAATGGCTTGACCCAGGATCTTAGAAGTATTGAGCTCCGGTAGGTTTTGTGGTGGCATCCTCTAGAGTGGGTAGTGGGTAGTGAGGTATTTGGATAGCCTTGTTGAGGTCTCTGGGGTCTAGAAAAACTCTCAGTTTGCCCGTGTGGGTCAGCTTCTAGTGCTATGTGGGTCACATCAGGGTCAACACTGAGGTTAAACTGTCCTAGAAACTGCCCTGGGAAACTCTCAGTACGCTCTGTGGGTCAGTGTCTGGTTTCTCACTTCTTTCAGTCTCATCCAGCCCTAATTTGATCCAGATTCACATCCAAACTACCTCCTTGTCCTAAGATGGGATCGGTGTCAACAATGAATTTTAGCATCAATGAGTTGGCCTTATATTTACATTCCAATTGGCAGATGCCTCTTCAGTGTTCCTCCTCCATGTGTGGTGGGCCTGTGCGGAGCTGCTTTTGTGGCAGTTTCCACAAACAGTGGTTCAAACATGTTTTCTGGAACGACACCAGTGTCAGTTTTGAACTTTACCTTATGTTGTGATGAGCCTGTTTCAATTTCTGGGGAAGCTTGTTCATTGCTTTTGTCAGTGTTTTCTTCCAGTACCTCTGCATTGTCCGCTCCTGTGGCATGCATAGTTCTCTGTAGGGGTTTTGTTTGTGCTGGGAATTTTCATTTTGCATGCCTTTTGCAAAGTGATTCAACCTTTTTGCATTTCGTGCATTGCTTAGCTGGATAGACTTACCTTTGTGCTGTGTGAGCCTCTGCATTGACCACTTTCATCGTTTGCTCTGTTAAACGCCCTTGTATTTTTAGAGCTAATTTGGTACCTGTTTGAGTCCCTTCCGCTGCATCTGCACTTACTTGTGTGAACAGGCTATGTCTATGGCCAATATCAGCTCTGCACCATCTGCACACTACACAATCTCTGACCATCACCTTGCTGTAACCACAGTGTCAACTCTGATACAAAGTGTTAAAATGACTCACTGATGCACACGTTGCATTTTCTCAGAAAAGGGAACCTACGTCAGGTTATACTCATAGTATGTTGGTTCTTACCTTTGTTCTTTGTAGTGGTATAGTGTTGTATATATCTCATTCTTTCTCCCCGATCCACAAAAGAAGATAACAACCTGCACTTTTTCTGTTCGCACTCCCCAACCCTCAAATTCGTTTTTATTAATATTAGATCTGCTACTTTCACAAAAAGATTTGAAGACTGAATTCCTCCCCTGTGTCTCCCATCCACTGATATATTATTAGCTCTTTGACTGCAGCTGCAATTTAAACTTCCTCTGCATGCTAAATGTTGAGACGCGCTGTTGAAGAAGTGGTTTAAAAAAGAGATTTCATCAAAAAGAGAAGGTTACTGTTGAATTTCATTTTTATATACTATTTATGATCAGACACCTTTCTCTGTCACATGGACCAGAATAGACAAAGTTCCTCTTTCAGAAGTGTTTTTATTCTGTCCTACACCTACACGTACACGTACACACACACACACACACACACACACACACACACACACAAACACACACACACACACACAAACACAATGATGTTCAGCTGGTTTGAATTTTCACAGCTGTACAGTTGGTAGATCTGAAACACCAGATGGTAAAATCTGAGAATCTGTGTGTGGGAAGATATTCAGACGAGTCCCCATGCCTCTCTCTCTCTCTCTCTCTCTCTCTCTCTCTCTCTCTCTCTCTCTCTCTCTCTCTCTCTCTCTCTCCCTCTGTCTCTGTCTCTCTCACCCCGGTCTCTCTCTCTGTCTCTCTCTCTCCATTTGTGCACATCTTTGGTGTCTTCATTTCTTCTAAAGAATTCATTGAAACAACAAATAAAGGATGTTATAATTCTGACCAGTCAGTTTATATCAACCCAACATTTTGCTATTGCTGTTTACCAGCTGAGACACTTTTTAAACTTTGACTGAGAACACAGCATAATATCCTCCACACTTGTCTCAAGGTTCATTTGTTTTGTCTCTTCCTTTCCCCCACAGTTTAACACCCTATTGTTGAACTCCTGACTGGACAATGCCAAGAGACTGATAAAAATGTGCTAAAGTGCATACAGAAAACAACAGGAATTAAACTTAAGAAACACTGGCCTGGAACTGTGCCACTGACTTTGCTCTGGACCTAATCTCCCACAGTCTGCATCCTGCCTCCTCCCATAAGAAGGAATTAGCTTATGTTTGTTCAGTAACGCCCAAGACCTTCAAAGTGGACACCATGTCCAGCTGCACTCTAATCACAAAATTTGAAGTGGCTATAATAAATATTTATATATTAACCATGGATGGCAAAGGAGTCGCTTTGCAGATCATTTTTCCCTCAGCTCTGCAGCCTTTTATGGTGTCTTCTGCTCATTGTTTTGGTTTTATGGCCCACAGCTTTATTGTTTTGGTTCACTCTCACTGCTCTCATGGTGTTGTTTTTGGCTGTATCAGGCAGCAAAGAAGCTCTGATAAACCAACTGTATGCTTCCTGCCCAGCACCAAACACCAGACAGATGACTTGCTTGTGAACATAGTGGAACATTTAGCAGCTGAAGAGCCAAATATTTTCCTCAGCAGTTGGTGGAGACAAAACAGAGCAAATAGAGAGTGAATATTGGACATAAATTCATCAGGTGGCAGTAACACATGTCCAAATTAATTATATTGTAGCTTCATATGTGACCATGGTGCAAAAGTTCAACATTTCCTCTTAAAAGTTAATAATAGTCAATGCTGTGTTCGCAGCTTGTTTCTGGTGCCCCCAAGGGGCCAGTTATTGCACGTCAAATTTGATAAAGTTGCATGACAATTTGCTTTCTTGCAGAGAGTTAGATGAGAAGATTGATACCACTCTCATGTCTGTAGATTAAATGTAAAGCCACTGCCAGTGGTTGATTATCATAAAGGATAAAGACTAGAAACAGTTGAGAAACAGATGAACTGACTCTGATCAAAGGTGGCAAAATCCATCTACCAGCATCACCAAAGCTCTCTAATCTGCACAAAATCTGAAGTATAAAAACAATAAGTTTTTGGAGGGGTTAGCTTCCTCATCTCTGCTTGTTGTCCTGGCAACCACACAGCGATGACAGGACTCCAGGAAGGATATTATGTGTTAATTAGTGAGCTGTAGAGGTGCTTTGTTTTTCTACTTTTGACAGTTTCCCCCTGTTTCCAGTCTTTGTCGCAAGATAAGCTAACCATCTCCTGGCTAAAGCTCCATGTTTAACAGATACATACGAGCGTGCTATTAATCAAAGGAAGTAAGAAAGGATATTTCTCAAAAAATATTCTATAAAGAAACACGTCAAGAAACAGCAGCAAAAGAAGGACCAAAAGGAACTCATACCTCAAATAAAGTTTAGCTGCTTTATAAAACAAAACTGTTAAGTTAATGAAGGAAATAGGAAACAGGTCATTGTGAATAATATTTTGGGAGAGGAAATGGGTCTTTAGTCAGACTGTCTGTGAGCTCAGATACGGAGTCCCAGTGGGTATAAAGCTGGGGATGAATGAGTCACACGACTCCCACCCTATATCCTGCCCCCATCCTCTCCCCCTGTCAGACACTGTAGTCATCTCAGTCACAGCAAGTAATCAGCACATTTCTCTTTCTTTCTAACAAGCACACTTTCCCTTTTTTGTTTTCTTTACCACCTTTGTATTGAAACTGTTGCACAGTAATTTCCCTCAGGATAAATAAAGCTTCTTGAATCTTGAATTATCCTCCATCCTCATGTCAGTGCTTTATAACCACAGACCACACATGAAGGTCCATGTTCAAGTGACTTCAGCTTGTTTAACCTTAATCTCCTCCAGAATCAGTGGGGACATTTTTGCCTTGTACAAAACAGTAAATAAATATCATGTGATCTCCTGGAAAGGGAGGCTATTTGCGTCTGAACAGTTAATTTACACAAGCATGTAAACAAAGAGAAAACTAGGAAAAAAGACAGCCGGTTGCTGTCGTATGCTGAGAACATCATGAGACACTTTGCAAATAAATCTTTTAATGTATTTGAAAAAAGAAAATATGATCCAAATGATAGCACATTCTAAAATATGCAATGTCACTGCAGTTATGTAATTCACCGTCTATCTGATGTGATATGTATCTGAATGATATAAACAGAGGAAGCACGTTTACTCTCTCCAGGGATAATGTTGTTTATACACAATCTGTGTGCCTGCTTCCCCTGAACATGCACTGGTGGATGTACCCCCCCCCGAAAAAGTCCCAGAAAACAGTTAGAGACTACCAAAACATTCACGCTCCACTTCAACTCAGTCTTCCCACATTCAGAAAGAGCACTGACAATTGCACTATGAAAACCTATTATAAATATGAAGCTTCTTCGCTCTCAGTTTTCTTGGTGACATTACATTACATACTATAATGTGTTTTTATGACATATGTAAAATTGGAAACATCACAAAGCCAACATGACATCTTAAAAAACATCTTAAAACAAAGAGACACTTGACTTTCCATCCGACTCTGACATGTGGTTTAAGAAGTAACTGTAAGAATTAGTAAGAAGTGTTTATTTCATGTTGATTTAGTGCAGCTTAAGGGAGGCTGGGACAAACAATAGCTGCAGTGGGTTTGATTTGCACTTTGGCACACAGTCTTCTTCTTGATGTAGCCAACCTGCTTTTTTTTAAATGGATAATGTCCTTCCAAATAAGAAATGTTTCTTATGTCAGACATATTGGAAGTGCTGATGGATTTACATGTTTTTGTGCCCTGCCTTTTCCAAGGAGCTGTAGTGCAGAGACCACTTATTCCAGTATTGGCCTCTCTTCATTGGCTGCCAGAGGAGTAATACATAAATATATAATTTCAGTTATCACCTATAAAGCATTGCTCAGATACATTTTTCAGTTCAAGGCTCACTAATTTACTCACGTTTCTGAACTGATGTTTTGTTGTTTTATTGGTTCTCTTTTTCTCTTTCTCTTTTTGATCTCGTGCTTTTATGCTTTTATTGTGAAAGACTGAAATAATTCTAATATAATAAACACATCTTTACTTAATTTAATTGCTGAATAAAATCTCCCTTGTGATAAAATTAGACAATAGAAATGGATTCAAGTTGTGGCCTAGTAATCGGTCCGATCTAGCTGCTGCTGGGTAACGGGAAAGGTGACATCAGACTGAAGGAATTTGCCCTTGTTGGAGGCTGCTGTTTGATTGGTGGACGGGGTCGTTTCGGACTGACTGGACTGTGGGCGGAAACACTAAACAGTTTAACATTCACTGGATGCTGATCAGCGACAGAAATAAACCTGGGAAAGGCTCGACACACACAGAGAACATAAACGCGGATTAATACTGAGGGGTTTTATCTCTCCTGTTTTTACTTTTCGGAAGAAAAATGTTTCCAATGTGTCCAAAAACTTTGCTGTTGGTGCTGGTGTGCGCTCTGGCTGCCTCGGCTGCAGACAATAAGACTCGAGGTAAAAGACTTCAGTTCACTTTACTGTGTTAAACAGGGGTTTTATAGGTAACCTCCTACAGATATGTAAGGTTGTACATTGATAAATGATGTAAGGACGTTTATAATATAATTTAGGCTCATTTGGCGCTGAAAAGATAAAAAGAAAGCTTAATCAGCAACTATTTTAGTAATAAACTTTCATATTTCAATAAATAATTAGTAAAACAATGTCAAACATTCTCTGGTTCCGACTTATTTGGTGCTTTTCTTTGTCACAGATGAGAGTATACTGAACAACTTTTGGTTTTGTACTTTTTTAGACCAAACGATTACTTGAGGAATAATCGTCAAACTAATCGATAAAAAAAATAACCTTAGCTGCATCACGATAATATAGAATATTCTGCTGTAAAAAGGCTGCAAATTGCGATTGTTTTCATTATCAAAGGACTCCTGGGGGTCCTTGAGGGGATTTTGGGGGGATATTTTACATTTATCGAGTAGTCTGTTATTTATTTATATTCAGTTGCTGTTTTCCCTCTGGTATTCAATTTAATATAATAGAAGACACAAGAAAAACAGCAAAAATTCACATTTAAGAAATCTGGAACCAGAAAATTATTGCCATTTTTATTCAAAAATATTACCTGAAAAGATCCAAAACAACAAATAATAATTAAAAATTTCTGTTGATTAATTAATCGCCTGCTTTATAATATAAAACATTCTGATTAAAAACACCTGTAATACCTTGATTAAGCAATCTTTCAATTCTGTTTCTTGGACCTGACTCTTTTTTTCTTTTTCTTTCTCCAGTCAGAGTGAAAGCGAGGACTTTTACCTTTTTTCACAGTTCAGTGACAGATGAACCAATATTCTTTAACGACAATACAGATGATCCCCAATTTAATCATACAAGAGGTCAGGGGTTTAATGCAACCAACTCCAGACGGCCGGAAATCACAGAAGAGGCTCTGCTGTTTCTAACGGGCTCTATGTCCACCATCCTCATACCTTCCTTCTACTTGCTGGTCTGCATCATCAGCGTGCCGATCAACATTGGTGCGGTCATAGCCTTCACTCGGAGGATCCGGCCTAAGAAGCCGGCAGCGATCTACATGCTGAACCTGGCCGGTGCTGACCTGCTCTTTGCCGTGCTGCTGCCCTTCAAGATCACCTACCACTTTGGTGGCAACAACTGGATATTCGGCCCGCTCATGTGCCGTGTGGTCACCGCAGCGTTCTACTGGAACATGTATTGCTCTGTTCTCCTCATAGCTTGCATCAGTGTGGACCGTCTTCTTGCTGTAGTCTACCCCATCGACTCCCTGGCTTGGAGGAAGCCACGGAACTCAATCATAGCCTGCGTGACCATGTGGATACTGTCTTTAGCTGGTTCGGTGCCCCTCGTCCTCTCCGAACAGACTTACACACTTACACAGCTGAACATCACTACCTGCCATGATGTCCAGCCCGCACATGAGCTAATCAGGCACTACAAGATCTACTTCATCACCCTCTGCTGCGCCCTCTTCTTCCTGCCTCTGCTCATCACTGTGGTGTCTTACACTTGGGTGATCGGGACTCTGAGCAGGGTCCCACGTGGGGTTCCCGGGCGCTCACGCAGAAGAACAAGAGCAGTGGTGATGGCTTTTACGGTGCTGGTGATGTTTGTTATGTGTTTCACGCCCACAAACTGTCTACTTCTAGCCCACTACCTGCAGTTCAATGAGGGACTCGAGAAGACCAGGGATGCTCCTGATGGCTCCTATGCTGCCTATCTGGTGTTTATGTGTTTAGGAAGTCTGAACTGCGTCCTGGATCCTCTGCTCTACTACTTTGGATCATCCCAGTGCCAAAGACAACTAGCCAGTGCTCTGAGATGTCAGAAGATTACAGAGGAAAGCAGCAGTCATTCGTCATCTAGTTCTTGCAGATCCAGCAGGAGAAAAATTCTGAAGTCCAGCCATACAGAAAGCTCCCATATAAACACATCAGTCACCAAAATGGACTCCTTCCAGCAAAGTCTTAACAGCCAATACAAAAAACTGCTGGTCTGATACTGATTCATCAATCAGAGAGTACCTGACTCTTATCTGTGATATTACAGTTACCAAACCGGTAGAAATATTTTATTATGAAGTCCAAGTAACAGCAAATAAAGATCATAGAGTCGGTCTGTAGGTTTGGCCCTCTGTCATTTTCCATCATGATAAGGATGAATGGAGGACAACTGAACCTATCATTCCAACAGAAATTAGTTGAAAAACCTTTTATAACAACTAATGTGCAATGATAGACATGCAGGGGTGGATCTAAAGAATATTTATAGGGGGGCCAGAGGGTGGCAGAAATATGCTGTTTTAACCCGCAAACTATTGCATATATCAGTATTTGCTTGGAAAAGCCCCCAAATTAAGATATTTTAACTAAAAAACATGAGATTTTTGTGGCACATTAGTAAAACATCGAATAGAAATATCTAGAGTGGAATTAGAAATAAACAAAAACATTTTATTTTCAAATCTTCAGACATTTTAACAAATACATTTCTTTTTTTTTCATTGACTTTAAGCTTACAGTTTAAAATATGGTCATAACAGATCATTAAATTCATTTCAATTCTTTAACACATTATTTTTAAAATGAATCTAAATTAATTTGTTACATTTGACCATGGCCAGCCATGTTTTTCATGCCACCCCTCTAGATCTGCCCCTACAGACGTCCCTGTCAAGAGATGAATGAAGTAAAAAAAAAAAAAAAAAAAACAATGTACGGAAGGAAGTTAACATTAGATAAGGATGTGCTTTCTAGAACAATTCAGCTGAATATTTCAAACTATGAAAAGCTTTTATTTTTGCACTGTATGTGTTACATGAGTTTATAAGCTGCATTTAATGGAAGGAAACTATTTGCTGTTTTGTATTTTGTATATTTTTCCTGTGTAATAGCTTTGCTGAAAAGCTTATTTCAAAGCACTTAAAGCTGTCAATCATATTTTACTTGGTATGGTTTTATTTATTCACAACTTTTTTTATTTTTTACCACTTTTGTTCTGTGAATAAATATGTCATCATATATTGTTGTGATAGTGTTAAAAAGATAACCAAGAAACAGCAGTAATGGGCTGACCAAATGTCCCACATTGTCATAGTTTGTTTCATGCTGCTCTCTGCTGGTTGGAAATGTGAAGTACCTTTTGTATATGACGTTGTCATTCTACACCATTGTCCAGGTTCTTTTCTCCTCCAGCAGGCGGCGCTACTGTACTGTTAATAAAAGGTAACCTGAAGGACCTCACCTCAGCCACCTCTCTTTCACTGTGTATTGGTCTTAGGAGAGAATTATGTGATAGTGTAAAGCAACTATCGACTGAATAAATACTCTCTCAAAACAACTGACTGTCCCGTAGTTTATTTCTCAGTGGTGGAATGTGATTGATTTACTCTTTTGAGTACTGTACTTCTTTACTTGAATATTTCCGTTTTATGCAACTTTATACTTACACTCCACTACATCTTTCTTGACAGCTTTAGTTACTTTTCACATTACAGTTACAAAAGATCAAGCTTTTAAGCAGCCCACTATGACAGCAAAGCCCATACGATCACTGAAGAGTGTTTTAACCATCGCCGGCTAAACAAACAGAACTAACAATGGAGGACATGTACAGATGTAGCATATCACCCACACTCATGCTTGTGTATATTTTAGTATTGGTGTGAAGTAGTTTCTGTTCTGCATTCCTCCTAAATTCACAAGGTATGGGGGGACGGTTAAAGTTAAGCTATATATTAATATATATTAGCCTAATTTATGAAACTTAACTTGCTATTAAAAACATCTTTTAGCATCAGACTGATCAAAAGGGCCTTTCCCAATGCTGATAACCTATATTATATATTATCAGTGGTGGATGATGTATTCAGATCTAATGTAAAAGTACTAATACTGCACTACAAATAAAAGTCCTGCAGTCATTCTTACTTTAATAAAAGTATGTAAGTATTATCAGAATGTATCTAAAGTGTGTTGTGCTGTCAGTGATTTACTATAATCTCTATATCTGATGTTTTTGGATTAATGTTACTGCTGCATTAAAGTGTGTGTGCTGTAGATGTTTAAAGCTCATTTTAACTACTTTACATACTGTTGTGTAGTTTAATCTACAGTAATGCATCATATTCTATAAGATCATCACTGTTCTGTGAGAACCACGTATCTCTAAAAAGAAAAACAGCCCTGCTCTGTGAAAATAAGAAGAAAAGAATCATCAATCAACAATATTTTTTTTTGTTTCAGATGACATTAACTAATACGTTTCCATTTTGCTATGATGGTTGTTTCTTACAGTAGTTAATTCCTCGGGGCCACAGGGGCCACAGTCGGTAGTCTTTGTATGTTACATAGGAGAATTTTCTCAACCCATAAAGGAACACTTTATCAGACACATTAAAAATAACACACAGTATGAAATCTGTAATGTAATCTGAAAAACAACTTTACTATCAGAAACACACACTCCTGGAGGTCTGGAGTAAGTGTTTGTGGAGTTTCAGCGGTGCCCACGCTTCCTGTTCCTAGAGTGCAGATATCACAACGTAACGTCCACCTGAGGCGTGGCTCTCGCGTCTCCATAGGTTTCACGCGGTCACCTGACGCGGTGACATCACGCAGGTGTAAACGCCGGAGCAGTCTTGAGGTGTAAGGTTATTGAGACAGAGACGAAGAGGAGCAACGCGGCCACACCCGCCGACAGAAAGCGCACACAGACCTCGACCAGATTGCAGCCATGGCTCTGAGGACGCGCTGGTCTCACCTGTTCCTCCTTTTGTGCTTCGTGCAGTTCTGCCTGTGCAAGGAAGGTAAGCTTCCCCCTGTTTATTTCCATCTGTGTGGTTCGTATTGTCTCAACGGACAAAATATTCAACTCCGATAGAAGTGGGATCAAAAAAGTGCTTTATTAACCTACACAGGTCGTATATAAGCCCTGTTTGTTTGATGGTTTTGGTCTAGATTACCTTTATAGGCTGGATTAGCATCAGAATTGACTTGATAGCACTGAATAATAAAGTTATATGTAAAGTGGGTTCGGTGTAATGCAGGTGACTCATGCTCAAAGACTTAATTACATGTCCTAAACAGGTCGAAGTGCTCACAGCTGACAGGAACTAAGTCGAACTGATATTTGAGTTTCCAATGTAGGTAAATTATAGTATGTTCCTGCATATAAACCTGTTGTACTTCTGCTTTTCATATGTTTTCGTATCGTGACTAGACATAGATACCAGAGGCTTTACTGGTACAGAGACCAAAGATGGGGTGTGGGTCAAGTCTCCAGCCACAGAAGTCCTGAACAGTCGTCTTACAACCGTCTTCCTCCCGATCATCTACATCATTGTGTTTGTTGTGGGGCTGCCTGCCAACGCCCTGGCAGTGTGGGTATTCCTCTTCAGGACCAAGCAAAAGCACCCGGCATCCATCTACATGGCCAACCTGGCTCTGGCTGACCTGCTCTTCGTCATCTGGGTCCCCTTAAAAATTGCGTACCACTTGAATGGCAACAACTGGATCTACGGAGAGCCACTGTGCAAAGTGCTGGTGGCCTTTTTCTACGGGAACATGTACTGCTCCATCGCCTTTATCGCCTGTATAAGTGTACAGCGTTACTGGGCCGTGGTCCAGCCGCTCGCCCATCGCCAGAGAGGCAACCGTACAGCTATTGCCATCTCCATCGCAATCTGGGTTGGGGTCTGGCTCATCACAGTCCCTCTCTACCTGTACGATCAACAGGTCCGTGTGACGAACCTCAATATTGCCACCTGCCACGACGTCACCAGGCCGAGTCAGAAGAAAATGGCAGCTGGCTACTTCCTGACAATGGGAATACTGGGATTTGTCGTTCCCTCCGTCGTGTGCATCATATCCTACATTCTCATGCTCAGGGCTCTCAGGAACAGTATGGCGGACCCAGCCATCGCCAAGAGGCGGCGAAAGGCCGTGGTCTTGATCGTCACCGTGCTGATTATGTTTTTAGTGTGCTTCACCCCCAGTAACATCATGTTGCTGGTGCACTACATTCTCCTGTTGGCCGAGGCTCACAACAACCTGTACGGATTCTACATCACCACCCTGTGCTTGGCGAGTCTCAACAGCTGCTTCGACCCTTTCATCTACTACTACATCTCTGAGGACTTTAGGGAGCATGTGAAGAACACGTTCCTCTGCAGGAGCGAGAGGACAGTGGAGAGGATGAGGGTCTCCTTCAGCGCTCTGAAGTTCTCCAAGAAGAGCAACACGTACACGTCTGAGTCCGGGAACACCAAGAGCACTGACTGCTAGCGCGTTGCTGGTTTTTAAGCTAATTATTTTTAATAAACTTCCCTCAGGTATAACATAAAATGGAAGGAGAGTCTTCTTTGGTGATGACGGCCTGCATGCTTCGAGCTGTCTTTAAGTTACTTCGTTTTTATTTTTGTAAATTAATTTTTATTTTTTATATGATAACACAACTTTTAGTTAATGCACTTTGCTTTGTTTGGTTCCATTGGAATATCAATATCAATATCAATATCAATACCTTTAGTTATTTGAGTGTGATCTTTTATTCCACGCTGTCATTTTACTGAGATGAAATCTTTGTCAGCGTTTTGATGTGCCAGATGGTTTTGAGACGGAAAATGGGAAACATTCAGCATGTTGTATGATCCATGATATATGCTTTACGTTGTGTGTGTGTGTGTGTGTGTGTGTGTGTGTGTGTGTGTGTGTGTGTGTGTATATCCTGTATGTGTTTTTAGAGTAATAAGTTTTACTTGTAGAAATACATTTTAAAGTTTGTCAATAAAAAGTAAGCCAACTAACTCTATTTTTACCCTGGGCTACTATCTGCAGGTCTTTAAAAGTCTCAAAAAGCAACTGAACTCATCTGAAAGGGTAATAAAAAGCCCTAGTTTACAATAATATACACCTATAAACTAAAAGTGGGATTGTTGTGATAAAGGATTGGGCTGTTTGTTTCTTTTTGGGCGTTCAGATGGTATGATTGCAATACTGGTATTAAATTACACTGTATGTGGTATTTGTCTTTAATTTAACTGGGTCAGCCCTGCAGTAACGTATTTGCTTACTGACATTTTCTCTGACTTCACTGTCGGGCAGCCGGCCGGAAAGGTCAAACTCGGTGTTCCTTATTTTCAAAATAAACTTTGCATTGGACCTTTTCCAAAATTCCATATGTTCTAAGCCAGAGTAGAACATGGTTTCATCCCAAATTAAAGATATACAGTAAATTATTTTGTGTATGGAAATGTCCTTTTTAAAAGATATCTTACCTCTTCCAGTGACAATAGAAACTGTGAAAGATCTTCTAAATTGTTGTCATTGCTTTTGTTTCACAAAAATTTGTTTTTAAATCCCAATCGATGTTATCAGGTTGGATGTATTCAACTTTTCAACGAAAGAAAGAGTATTTTTCAACATATTAAATGTGCAGTTTGAAGCTCAACAAAAAAGGTTGCACAAATTAGTGTGAAACATAATGAATCTTACAAAATTAACCAGTTTATATAACATCCCATACTTTAATAACTTGAAAAGATACATTTTCCAGGGTTACTGGAGTAGAAATATCACTCAGGTTCACGTTTGCATTGGCTGGCTTTTGTGTCAGTCATCATCTTACCTGATAAAAGTTGTTTTGATACAGTGAGAGATGGAGCGAGAGAGATAAGTTCTTAATATTGACGGGCAGGGTGTGTTTTTACACTATTTCCAAAGAAATACCAACAGTCATATGAACAAAGACTGTCTGTTCAAACTTAGGACACACAGTCACAGTCTGCGAACACTGATGTGGTAAACGTCCATTTCCTTATACCCACAGTGCCATGCTGTGTGTTGAAAACTTTGCATGTTTTCTAAAGCAAAAAATTATTTCATGGTTTCAGCTTCTCAAATGTGAGAATTTGCTGCTTTTCTTGAGTGAACTGAAAAAAAAATAAATAAATAAATATATATATATATATATATATATATAGTCACCTTGGGCTTGAGGAAATTGTGATGGACATTTTAAATTGTTTTACTCGATAAAATAATCATTAGCTGCAGTGTGGAGGTGAAATGTACCCAAAATCAGCAACTGAACTATAGTAAGAGATCTTCAGTTCAAGCCTGTAACAACATCACATGGAACACATCAGTGTGCACATTATTTCCTTTAAGTACACGTTTCCTCTTTCTAACCACAGACATCAACATGATCTATATTCAGAACACTTTGTTTAAGCCGAATTATTTTCAAAGTTTCCCCTAGCGTATCCTCAGCATGACTTTTTGTTTGATAGAATTTTATTTTTATTTTATTTCAAAAGTTTAAATATGTCTGAAAATACACATTGACATGAATCCAGCACATTATTCGCACAGATAAATTCCACATATATGTAACAATTATTATTGAAATAACTGCATGTTAACATGGCAGCCTATGTTCATACATGGCACTAGGCCACCTTACACGTTATTGTAGGCCCAGTTTAATATGCAACACAGTCTTATACAATAAGAATCTTATATAGGGTCCCTTCAGATAAGGGGTCCTTGGCCTGAAAAACGTTGAGGAGCCCTGCTAAAGTATTAAAATCTAAAACCTTAAGACTAACTTCTCTGACTGTCTGTCTGTCTGTCTGACTGTGTTTATTTGTCTGTTTGGAGTGCTTGTTTGTTTGTTTGTCCTCTTTCTGAATTCACTGGGCGCCATAGAAACACTCTGATGGAAAATTGATCTCGACCAGGTGGGCGGGTCAGAGATGACGTCGCAGCGTACGGACAGGTAGTCTCGGGGTGTGTCCTCCAGGGTTGAGGCTGCTCTCCGACGTTTAAGGAGCTGTTCGAAGGAGAAACTACCAGAGAAACTCGGCTGAAGTGCGTCTAAAGTACAGAGACATGGATTTTACTCCGTTGCTGTCGCTCCTGTTGGTTTCCTGCTGTTTTTCGGCCTCACATGCCGCAGGTAAGCTCGGGACTTCCTCCGTTGAGCCAGGTCCCCCGGTACGGAGAGACACCATTAGTCTCATCCCCGGAGAGCCCGTTAACATAAACACACTCCGGTAATAGTGTATTGAGCTGAATAGTTTTTACCATAATTAGAGTTGGAGTTAAAAAAAATATATACTTTTAACCTTGGGCTGTGTCCAGCTCCCAAACAGACAGGAATGCTGGGAAATGTAGGCCTATCTAAGCTTTTAAAAACGTTTATCATCAGTAACTTTTATACAGGTATTGCATAAGGGGATATCATATCTAACCTGTGAGATCAGGAAAAAGGCTTATTTGCTGTTTTTGTTTTTATTGGTGATGCTGTTATTTGTATTTAGGCTAAAACTAATGATTGTTTTAATTAAATATTAATCTGTCTATAATTTATCTTCATTCTTTTAGCCTAAAAAGTGTCAGAAATCAATGAAAAATGCCCATCCCAGAGCCCAAAGGGACATTTTTGAATAACTTGTTCTGTCCTAAACTCAAAGATACGCAGTTATAATTATACGAAGCAGCAAAAACCTCACTTCAGAGAATCTGGATCAGGGAACATTTATGTTTAATAAATGACTGAAATGATTAATTGATGATCAAAATAGCCCTGATGTGTATTAAATTTTATCATATCCTTTTTAGGTAAAGGCCGTGGGTTCACCGGGTTTAAGGACCCTGAAAACTCAGAACAAGTTGTTGTGGACAAGGCAACAGCTGACACTCTGAGAAGTAATCTCACCACAGTCTTCATCCCGATCTTGTACATCATCGTGTTTGCGGTGGGACTCCCCGCCAACGGCATGGCCATCTGGGTGTTTCTCTTCAGGACCAAGAAGAAGCACCCGTCGTCCATCTACATGGCCAACCTGGCTCTGGCCGACCTGCTGTTCGTCATCTGGATGCCCCTGAAAATCTCCTACCATTTCAACGGCAACAACTGGATCTACGGAGAGCCGCTGTGCAAAGTCCTCATGAGCTTCTTCTATGGGAACATGTACTGCTCGGTTCTTTTCATTACCTGCCTCAGCGTGCAGAGGTACTGGGTCGTGGCTCACCCTCTGTCCCAGCAGAGGAAGAACAACAAAGTGGCCATTGGCGTCTGTGTGGCCATCTGGCTGTTCGTCTGGCTCACCACCACGCCTCTGTACCTGTATAACCACACCGCCAAACTCAAAGACCCCAACATAACCACCTGCCACGATGTCAACGTCATAGAGGACGCCCTCAACCCGTTCCCCTCTGTCAAGTTCCCTTACTTCTACTTCATCTTCATGGGTATGGTTGTGTTCCTCGTCCCTTGTATCATTATCGTTGTGGCCTATGTTCTGCTACTCAGGGCTCTGGGGAACAGCATGGAGGACAGCACGGCATCAAAGAACCGCCAGAAAGCCGTGGCGTTGATTGTGACCGTCCTGGTTACATTCCTGGTGTGTTTCCTCCCCAGTAACATCATGCTGGTGGTGCATTACTCTCTACTCAAGGATGGAGTGATCAATAATGGTTACAGCTTTTACCTCTCCACGTTATGCCTGGCAAGCCTCAACAGCTGCCTGGACCCGTTCATCTACTACTTTGTGTCAGAGGACTTCAGAAACCACGTGAAGAACACTCTGCTGTGCAGGAGCAGCAGGACTGTGGAGAGGATGAGGGTCTCATTCAGTTCCATGAAATACTCCAGGAAGAGCAAGTCGTACGTGTCGGAGAGCGGGAACACGCAGAGCAGCAGCTGTTAGTCAGAGGAAAGGAGAGCAAAGAAAGGCTGAAGGGAAGTCACGTGTCATGCTTGTCTGCGTTTGACCTCTGGTGTACTGAAAACACGGCAGCTCACAGACCTCGTTGCACTGGGACTCTGTAGTTACGTCCATCATAACAATGGACTTGAGGCCCCTCAGGTGCAACCAGGTAACCTCAACACATCAGATAGCCAAAGATGAACTTTAAATGTGAAGATGACTGTACTCTTTAAATGTATATGATTTCATTATGAACTGTTAAAATGTGAAACACGAGTAGATATTTTAGTTTTTTCTGTATAAATAGAGAGGGGGTATGTTAAAGACTGATACTTAATCCTCTTGGTTGCACAAAATCCGTTTTTTTCTGTAATATTTTGACTAAGTTCTGCACTGAATACCATTTAAAGCAAATGTCACCTGTAATAAGACAGAATCAACTTGACGTGTTCTGGGGAATGGAACCTGAAAGCATGTCAAGTTATGACTTTGATGAAGGTGTCAATGTAGCTCAAATCAACGATAGAAAAGGTGTATATAATATTCACTCCTGTTTTGTTGTTTTTTGTCTTGCCTATTTGGCACACTCCTGCCGCCAGCAAGTTTTATCTTTTTTATTCTACCTGTTGAGTTTGATGAGGAAAAAGTTGGAAATGTTATATAGTCTCTTAAATAAATGATAATACAACAGGATGCAGTTTCTGTGAAACTCTTTTTTTAATATTGCTTAACCAATTAATTTCCAGCTGCGGGTGAGTCACTGGCCTTGTTTTCATCACACTGGTGGGGACGGATGTTGACGAGACTCACTGTCATGGATCATTCTCTTCGCCTTGTGGAAATGTTAGGAATTCATGGAATGTGTTGTGGTGGTGTTTATGTGAAAGTATGCGGACTACGATAGTTCTGATGAAACAAAAGCATGTATGTTTACCTGCTTGTTAATCATACTGTTTTCTGACGTAAAGGCGGGAAAGAAAGTGGGTCAGAGTACAAGATGTTAAAGAATGTTTAAGAGCATGACGAGGCCTGCTGTGAGGATGACCTAATCAGGTTGTGCTCACGCTAGTTTCGTTCCACCTGTAACTGAAACACAGGATTTCTCATTTATTTATATTTATTGATTGACAGCAATGACGTTCCCATTCGATAACCCAAATCCGGCTTTCTCTCTTGGTATTTGATAAACTTTAAGCTCATTAAAATCTAACACATTTTCTTCTAAAAGATAATATACTGTTGACAAAGGGGCATTGTGAGCCACAGTGAGTGCCCCTGATCTTTTATCTATAGATAAGAAGAAGTCAACTGATGTGTTTCAAGCAGTAGCCCCACCCATAGAGTCGTCACCCTCCCCCAGGTACACACACAGACTGAATGACCGGTTAAGGCAGAGCTGCAGGTCGTATAAAGAGGTAAATGATTGTTGTGGAGTGTCGTCTTACCTTTTGTCAGCACTTCTGAGTAAAACACATTCTTTTCACATGTTGGGAACAGAGCCACTCCCAGGCCATTTTACATTTACACAGCTCCTTTCAATCATTAGAACACCGTGTGGCCAGGGCTCATTTTTAGACAGAATAACTGTTATTAACTGAACCTCAACATCGGTTAATGAAGTCATAAAAGTCAACACGGAAACATGTGAAAAGGTTGTGAAATAAAAGGTTGTGAAATCGGATTTGATAGATCATGACTTATACAGGGAGCGACATTTCCAATTGCACATGACCATGAATGATTATACAGGAATGTAAAGCACACTAGTTAATGGTGCACATTAAGCAAGTTTACTCAGATTCTGAGTTCTATTCATTATAGCAAACTTATAGGAACATTTTCTCAACAAAATTATATGTCTCATCACAGTGTCGGTAGGACAAGAAGTTTTAACCCTGATACCTTCCCACCTGCACTCCAAAGAGCTCAATACAACACACAGTTTCAGTGTTATGTCTTGTTTGTTTAACCCATACAAAAACTGAAATGGAAAAAAACTGCATGTTGGGATTTAAAGAAGGTGTTCTGCTGGCATAGTTAGCATACACAGATGAGAAAGCAATACATTATTCCATTAAATGTTGCTTTAAATTCAGTTAATCCTATTTAACTTTAAGCAGTGTTTTATAATTCATTGTTTATAAAATGCACATGGCTGGTAATTATACCAGTGGAGTTACTTCTGCACTTGCACTCACATGTATACGTGGTGGTTTGTGTTGCATATTTCCACATTGCAAAATGTATGGTATGCTTTAAGGTTCTCGTAAGTTGCAACAGTTCTGTAATCACAAGGCTGACGTTTATGAAGTGTAAGAATATGAAAAAGTAGAAAAGTTAGTGTGGAGTTTGTTGCAGAACAAATCACAGTCATTCAAACCTCACCAGAAAACTCTGATGTAAATAGCTTAAGTTAAACTTATTTTTATTCATTTGAGATTGAAATCATTTAAGATATAAAAATAACTAACAGTGAGAATATTACATTAACATTAAAGATAAAAATTACCAGACATGGTCTGTTTATTTAATTTAATTACCTAGCACTAGAATACTTATAACAAAGACACACAGACAAATACGCTCGAGGCAACTGAACACAGTATTTCTAAAATGAGCATGACTTGTTGCAACAGCCAATTCCCTCATAAACCAGAAACACACCAAACCAGTTCTGACTGCCTGTTTGGTTAGCTAAGAGAGACAAGTCACAACAACTGTGGCTAAACCAACACCACAGTACTATGATACACTGTACTTCCTGTGTGCTGTCTCTCAATATACTACTGCAGAAAAAGTGTGTATCTTTTGTTAAATCAATCTGTCAGAGTAAGTCTTGTAAAAGCTGCAGTCTTTCTTTGGTGTGTAATTTGTAGCCTTGCTGCTCTGATTTGTGTTTGGAGGAAAAGTGACCTCTGTTGGTTTGTTCGTTGAAATGCAAGTAACACCACATATAAGTGAAAAAACCAAAACATTTTCAGTTAATATTAGTTGATTTATACATTATTAGAGGAAATTCTGGCTTGAAAAAGCAGCATGATTTTATATTTTGATTTATTAACAAAAAAATGTGTCCTAACATAGTAAGAGATTTCAGAATAACCCCTGCTTCTGTGAACACAAAGACTTCCTTAAATATCACATTTTTATTTTCACAGTTGAAGACTTTGTGTCACAAATATATTTGTTTTGGAGAGTTGAATTAAGAACTCTCCCAGTAAGAACATTTCGTCTGAAAGAGAGGATGATAGATTAGTATTGCGCCCACGCATCATACTGGGATGCAGCTAAAAGACCGCTATTCATGCGTGAGAGTGAGAGGGTCAGTGCTGAGGAGGGAGAGAGGAAGAATGTACGTGCTAATCACTCTGACAGATCACACCATCTACCATCAGCAAATACTCAATAAGGTCTCTTTAGTGACACATAAAGAAACAACCATCAAGTAAGTAGTTTTATTATTTGCTCTTATTTTTCAAGGTGGCTCAAAACATGTTACACATGTATGGGAACTGACCTGAGAATGCATGACAATACATTAACACAACTGTACACAAAATAGACATAAAAGATCATTCTTCTCAACAACTTAATGTTAGATAATCAAAGAAATGTTAGATAATCAAAACTCTTGACTATTAGCGAGCAGTGAAAGATATTCAAAAAGACAGGAAAGGCAGACAGACAGGGAAGGAGAGAAACTGGTCTGTAGGAGGGAAGAGAGAAAAAACAAGTGTGTTGGAATAAGAGCAGGTACAAAAGAGGCCATTTGAGTAAAAGAGAGACAGAGTCAGTGAGAGATTAACTCAAGCTCTTTAGTCTTTTCTACCTTTCATCTTGTCTGGCTCTCCCGCTGTAGCGTGGCTGGAGGGAGTTGGCACAGTGTGGGTGCCCCCCAGCCAGTCCCAGTGAGAGAAGAATGGGGCAAAGTTAGTGCCGGGCCTCTGGTGGTGAGCATCATGCTTGGGTGCACCTCCCCAGAGGCCAAAGGGCACCAGGTTATGTAGCGCCCATGGAAAGTCATAGCCGCAGTGCTGCTCAATGGACACATAGACGTTGAAGACCATGAAGCCCCATGCTGTGAGGCAATGGCACTGAAGCAGGATGGGGTCTATTGTAGCCCAAAAACCCAAGCTGAATAACTCCCAGCCAGACAAGTACTGGGTGACAAGGCTAAAAGTCTGGTTGTATTGGTGGTGCACAGCATGGAACGTGCGGTACAACCATGGTACCTGATGGTGCAGCAGGTGCCACAGGTAATACTGGAAATCAAAGACCACCATGCAGCCCATGATGCCCAGGAAGAAGCTCCAGAAAGTGGGTGCCTCGTGGGGCAATGGGGTGGGCGGCCTCCACAGCCACTGGGCGACTGTAGCAGGAAAGATGTAAAGCACATTGTTGTAGATGGTGAGTCCCAGGGTAGTCCAGATGTTAGGCCAAGTGACGGGTCTGTCAGGATGAAGCCTGTAGCGGTTTATGCATGGCCAGGTGGGAGCAAGCAGGTCCAGCACGGTGTAGAGACCAACCAGGAAGAAGTAAGTGGAGACGGAGAGGACCACGGGGAAGGGAGGGCTTCTCAGGAGGTCGTGGTGGTTCTGGTACAGGTAGTCCCAGAAAGGCTGCAGGACCGAACCGTGGGACTGGCCTCCAGTCACGTTGTCCTCATCAGACATCCAGGATAAAGCCTCAGCTCTGAGTAACCTTCCTGTGCTCATCACTAACACTGTGTTTGTCTTCCAATAGAAGGCAGATCTGAGATGATTATTTTCTATAAAAGAAAAGGGGATCGAGAGTCTAAATGAATGGAAAGATCCAATCAGCTTCCTCGTACAGGGTAAGCAACAGCAAATTGTCTGGTGAAGTTGTGCCAAATTGGACTGGCGGGCCGTCTTAGCCTCTTATGTATGTTCAAGCCCCACCTCCACCCCTCCACCACCCCACCCCCTGTGTTTTAAAAGAAGGCCCTCTGTAAAGGCCCTTTTTCATGGGCACAAGGACTGCAGCCAGAACTCAGGAGCCGGGCCACAACAGCTCCAATCTTTGCCCCAAATCATGGAGAGAAAGCTTCCGCTTACTTGTGAATTTGAAAAAGGGGTTATGCATTTCACAATTAACTTTAATGTAATCAAAGCAACCTTTATGAAAACATTACCGTTAAAGCAAGTTACACATTCACTGCTGTATGTTAATAATCAGCATGCATGCACACACACATACACAACATGAGCCCTAAAAAGCAATCAATCATAGAAAAGCTGTCAAATGAGACATGAATTGAAAAGCACTTCCTTTCAGATGCTGGATTGTAGTAGGCTTATTGCTCAGTTTGAGTTCATTCATAGAAAAAAAGATTTCATTGAAGACTTCATTCGTTGAAGACTGAACTGGAGCAGTGACCCCAGTTCTTGTTTCTATGGTGTGACACAATCATTTTGTACAAAGCGGAGGTTTTTCAATAAATATCATGTGATACAAAGTCAAACGTTACACAATTTAACTTCCTATTATCATTATGTGTCAACATAACATTCGGTTCTATATATATTCTATTCTCTATATATACAGTTGTGTTTTTCATGGAGAACAAACACACTTCAGTGTGATACACGTTATAACTGAACTTTATTATAGAAATAGGAAGTGTAAACAGTGTGGGCTTTCCCAAATACATAAATCCTGTCTATAACAGCACAGCTTAAAGTGCACAGCATGCTCTCTGAACAGACTTGCCATATGATCTGCACACTTTCTGATACCACTGATCAGCCAATAGAGGGCAGTAAAAATCAAGTCTTCACCAAAAACACAGTTACATATGGCAATAAAACTGTGAATGAACAGAACTGGATTAAATATAAATATATACCTATTTTTCATATTTTTCACCTACGTTGCACACAATAGTTATATGTTTCCCTCTGTTCAGCTTTGCTGTCCTTGTTTATCAACTGTGTCTTAATTTGTATCTTCCTCTAAATTGTTCTGTGTGTAATTACACTGAGAGCAACTTAAAGCAACCTTTGTGACTTTTCCACCTCAAAATAACAGCTAACAGCTTAAATAGCTTCAGAATAGAAAAATGTGATGCTACACTGACTTGTAATGAGGTGAAGGGTGCCTCTGTCATTCCCATTCTGCTCCGTGTAAGCCTGTTCTCACAATATGTAACTTTCGTGTTGGGATGTAACGCTTTACAGTGTAGGTACCACATGTGCTCGGCCTACCAGATCGGCTTGGGGTCTTGCATTTACAGACGATGTAGCACATTAACATATTATGATTAGCTGTCTTGCCTGATTGGTACATTATGATTAGCTGTGCTGCCCAATCTGTATATCCTGCTTGAACGGTACTGCACATATGCAACTTTCAACAGAGATGAGAAGACAGCAGGATTGCTCACTCTTTACTTACTTCCCCCATCAGCTCCAGAAATAATATTCGGTTAAATTCAGACTATTATGTTATGTTAAGACTTTGTTTTAAACAATTCTTATTGTCTTCTAGGTGCAGTTTGATGAGGTATATGATATGAGTATATAAGTATGGTGACTTGTGCATGTACATCACATCTATAAGCATATGTGAGACATACATGGACCATACACTACAGCAATAAGCACAGCTTCCAGATAACTCAGCTAACGTTAGCCAAAGGGGCAGTAATTCAAAATGCATGAGAAAACTAATCTAACCTTGCAAGGCAACTGGACTCGCAAGATCACGAAATCACAAGATCACGCGAGAATCCATCTTGCCAGGCTTCAAGCTATGTGCCACCGGACCAATCAAAATCCTATGAGGAACTACTGGCAGCTACAGCATGAGCTACGGGCATGGTTTAACGGTAAGTGTGTGGGAGAAGTGACTGTTTGCTGGAAAACAAAAATGTTATTTTAAGGATTCATTCAAAGAGGTGAGGAAGAACTGCACTGAAGGCTTGTCTTAATAGAAAACAAACATCTGGCGCAGTCAGGTTAGAGAAAATCCAGAGGTCAATAATTCATTGACAACAAACAGTGAGACTGTAGTGAATGCTGCACGCTGTCTGGGGACACTTATTACATCGGCCTCAGGCTCGATGTTTCCTGTGGGACTTTGATATCAAGTCAAACCCAGAGGAAAAACTGAAAGTCACAGAAGTCAAAAATAACTATTATCGGTGAAATCTGGCCTCCGTGTAAAGCCAAAAATAACTATTAGGCCTCAATGATCCACTGTCTCTGCTATATGGAGGATCGCAAACCATTTTTGGTTCTGTGTTACCACTTGCCAGACAGGTGTTGTGTAAAATAAATGAGAATCCACTTCTCACTCAGTACTTCACCACATCACTAACATACACCACTACATGTAGGTGTCTGAGGAGACGATGACAAAGTGTGAGACTACTTCTTTCACTCCCGAGAGAGAGGACACATCCATTGAACTCTGGTGCAGAGAAACTGTGCAGTGTCTTTGACCAAATGCTACATTTTACTTTAAAGGAGCTATATGTAAGAATTTCCCACCTGTCGAATTCATACTCCAGACAAATTGGGGGCAGCATATCACCAAGATGTTCAGGTGTCCATCCCTGTCGTAAGAAACAAGGCCATGCACAGTCTCTGCCACAGGGATTTCCTTCTTTCAACAAACAGCTAACTTAACACACACAGTAAATATGGAAGAGAAAAGTGAAACGCTAGGCTAACTCCTCCTTCATCACCACCACTGTGGTTACCCCAGCTGCTCCAGTGGAGCTGCTCAGTGATCAGATGCTGCTTGATATAGCTTAATATAGTGAAGAATTCACACTGGACAACTGGAAAGACTTCACCGAATCCACCACAAAAGCAGGTTTTCTTGGGAATGTTTTGATGCCTGAATATTGCTGCTTTGCAAGACAATAATATATAAACAGGAAGACAGCACAATGAATAAAACCTGGACAAAAGGCTGAGCAGACCTGATATCAGTTTATGTGTAAATACTGTATCTCAAGAAGAAGAGTTGAGATCAACAACAACTGGACTTTACTTTAGGTTTCTGTTACCATTCATGCTCCACTGTTATATACCAAAGTCCATTTGGATGAAAGTGCTATATAAATGCAGCCGTTAACGATTTATTAACCAGCAATGAGCCTTTGTCGGCGTCTGATGAGCTGCTATTTGATTTTGTTGAATTGTTCAAGAAACTTTGAGACCCAGAATCCACCCAGCCATTCTGAGCAGCCTACATTTCTTTCTCTGTGTAAAGGCTGCTTGAGGCTGTATGTCTCCAACACTGCGGAAGGTATGAAAGGAACAGGAGGAAATTCATGTCAGGACTTATCAACTGGTGCAGGTCTACATCCACTCAAACAGCCTCTGCAGGAGCGGAAGACAGAGCCTGCAGTCAGCCTGGTGCAGAACAGAGGAGCAGACAAACCTGAGAATACAGAGTCAGAGTGAGACGTCAGAAGGTTTGAGTTCTCTCTCTCTCTCTCTCTCTCTCTCTCTCTCTCTTCAACATCTCCCATCCTAATCACATGCACTTAGGTACAGTGAGCTTTGACTAACATTAGCAATGCATACTAATGATTAGTAGGTACTGTATAATATTTACAATGTTTGTTTAGCATATTAGAATGCTAACAAATGCTAATTAGCAGTAAACACAAAGAATTACATTATTGGAAAAATACACATTTTAAACTGATTATGATGCTCTATAAAAAGTCAGAGGAACACTAATGTGATAATTCATCCTGAAACACAAATGCTTTTTGTTTGAGTCATAGAAATATTAAATATATAGGCGTTAGAGGAAAAGTCAGCAGAATTAATTGTGTGGGAACTATGAATGTCCATACAAAATTTGATGACAACCAATCCAATATTTTTTTTAGATACGGACCAAAGCATGGCTTATAAAAATAAAACAGTTTCCTTATGCACACTGAACAGTCACTGCAAGGTCAGAATATATTAGTATTCATTCACAGTAAGTATTCATGCTTGTAAAAATAAAATAAGATAAACTTTATTGATCCCATGCAGAGAAAGAACAGATACAAAATACATACTTACTATCAAGTACATTTTGACAAACATCACACAACACAAATAAACTGACGAGATGTGGAAATTAAATGAACTTGTAGTCCAGTAGCTGATTCATACTTTTACATTTACACTACAATAACATTCATTAAAAATATCTTTCTATATCTTATAGAAGAAAGCTTAGGCGCAAACAGAATGGAAGCATGATCTCCTTTGTCTTTGTCGTGACCTTGAAGACGCTGCAGAGGACCTGCGGGTACACAAGGAGACTTAAAATGATTCATCATGTGTCATGTATGTGGGAGGAAGGCTTTTTTATCTCCTTAAAGACCATGAGCAGGGCTTTAAAAATCCCTTATAAAAGACACAGGCTGCCTCATGTAAAGTAGCTGTTGTGATTTTTTCCCAGTTTTGCCTCAGATGTATTATCTATTCAGTGTTGCTGTCCAGAGGGTAGATATGTATAACTGATATAAATGTAATAGACATCCAACAATAGTTGGATGTGGTTATATTTAAACATTTGTTTTAATATAAAATCACAGTTTATTTTCTACCTGATAAATTATAAATTTTTGATGTGAAGATAACAATTATTAAGCTGAAATCAAATCATGTGCTGATATAAATATAACAATAGTAGCAAGTAAATACATTTAACTCAAAAACTGAAACTGATTACATTGAAAAACATTTTTAAAGTAAAACTAATTCTCTAACTTAAAAAATTCTTGATCAATAGCTTTAGTAATTTTAAGTGACACTGACTTAATTTTGTCATTTTTATCTGTACTGTCAAATAAAAAAATACCTACTCAAGTGTAATAAATGAAGAATGTTTTTACCCATAGTTTGAGTTTGTGTTACATAAAATTTTCGATGAATCCATTTCAACAATTTTTTGGAGTTAAACTATCTTTTTGTTTTACTGTGTAATAATAGTCATTATTTATAAAGCACTTTTAAAACCAATGTTACAAAAAGATTCACAAACAATTGAATAAAACACAAGTTGTAAAAAAATGTTTAAAGAGAATTTAAACCAGGTAAAACAGGAAAAAGATTTAGGAAATTAGAAGAGAGTAAATTAAAATTCCAGTAAAATCAGGATAGGCTCTTCGATAAAAGTATGTTTTAAGAAGAGACTGACTCAGCCGACCTGATTTCCTTGAGCCGATTGTTCCAGAACTTCACTGAATTATATCTCTAATAACAGAGCGCTTTATGGATTTTATCAAATTAATTTCTCTTGCCACGATTTCAGTGTTTGATGTGATGTCAGTTTGTGTTAAGGGTTTCACGGGTCTCTGTCATCAACAACATTTACTATTAGCAGCCGTGAGGGGAAACTGTTTCATCACCTTAACAAATGGAAACTTATTTTCTCCATGACAGTGTCTGCTAGTGGAAGAAAAGTTGCTGGCCCACATCCCTCAGGTGTTGTCTTTGGGGGCTGAGGGCTGAATGGAGTGTTATTCTCCACTGTCAGTTATGACACAGTGACAGAGGAGGAGGGACAATCACGTCCGGACACAAAATGACAAAGGATGAGAGCTGCCGCTGCTAAAAATAAACCCCTACAATGAGAACATGACGATTTCAAATCACAAGGTGAAACTGAGAGATAACCTGCTGGCAAGAAAAAGCAAGTCTCTACAAGTCTGGTGTATTTCACAGGAAATGTTAGGAAATCATTTTGTCAACAAAATGTTGAAATAAAGTATACATAACGGAAAGTACGCAGATGTACCAGGTTGGATAACCCTGCTTACAACAAATGACCTTTATATACGACGAATCTGGAACAACAAAGAAATGTAAAACCACCTTAAAATCAACATAAACGGGAAATGCAATGCTTGTGACAACAGACGTTTCTCACACAGCATATGTTCTTGCTATACAGTATCTGCTCTCTCTTTTTATTACACTCATGTTTATGTTTGGACATTGTCACAGCTCTGAGTTAAGGCTCAGGACTGATTGTGGTCTTGGTTAAATAAAGAAACTTATTAAAAATAAAAGGATGCATGAGAAACAACATCTTTGTTGTATTAACCTTTAACCAAAAGCACAAGATTTCCCAGTCCGACCAAAGTGCATTATTTTTCCTAACTACACAGAGTTTAAGGATGCAAAGTATTGGTCTTTCTAGACCCAGAATCCACCCAACCACTTCCATAGCACTTCCCACATGCAGTAGTGCAATGTACTGTACCGACACTCAGTACTGTACGCAGTATTTCCAGTTTATACAGCTTTATACTTCAACTACACTTCATCTTGGGTGCCCGGTTAGCTCAGTCGGTAGAGCTGGTGACCCATATACACAGCAGCCCGGGTTTGACTCCGACCTGCGCCCCTTTGCTGCATGTCATCCCCTTCTTCTGTCTCCAAGCTATCTCTGTCAAATAAAGGCATAAAGGCCAAAAAAAATAATACTTTAAAAAAAAAACAAAAAAAACTACACTACATCTCAGAGGCAAATATCATCCATTGTACTCCACTACATTTATTTGACAGCTTTAGTTACTAGTTACTTATTTCATACCATGTCTGACGTATTTCATATTTCTCCAACTTCTTTAGCTAAACTAGTAAAATAAGTAATATTAACCCCAAAAACATCACAATAGTACATTTTTAAGGAAAATCTTGAATGCAGGACATTAAATTATAGTGGAGAATTCCCACAATGATAATATATTTGAATTTCATACATGTAAAATAAACAACTCTCTTCACTTCTGTATTTTGCTTGAAACATTTGTGTTGTATATTCTGTCAAGATAAAGCTTCAGCACTGAAACTGCTGTACTGCATCATACGTGCAGTAGGTTTTTGTCATGCTAGGAAGGAAGATATTTTATGAAGATAAGAACACATTGTGATTCAAACTTCTTTCAGGGGTACTCCAGAGATTTACTTTGCTGCCTTCTTGAATTATCTTCCCCTATGTGAGTGACTTTGGAGAGATATATTTAAAAGTGGTGAAACAACCCAACCTCTGGTGTGGGTCAAGCTCCAAAAAAACATTGGATTCTGCAATTCTCACAACTTGATAGCATCTTTCATTAATCTGTCCCTGTATACAGCCACATCCTTCAAACTCCACACAGGCTTTTTGTCACACATATCAAGTCTCAAGGCCAAGCAGAGATAACCCCGATGACATCACTATGACATAATCAGGGTTGTTTTCTGGTATTTTATAGTAAAAAGATCCTCCAGATCAACAGGGGACATTATAATAGTCACAGGCTGAGTCAAGGCTACAGTAAACGGATCTCCAATTAACTTTTTCTTACATAGAGTCATATTGAACGTGTGCTTTTTTGTATAGTATTGCACAATAGTCTTTTCATTCCCTCGTTGGCCTGTGGGAAGAGTCACTCAGATGGAAAATGCCACATCTCCAGTATTTTGTGTTTTCTCTATAATCATCTCTTTTAATCTTCATGTCTGCTTGCTGCGGGTTCCTTGGCATTCATAATATAATATTGTTAGGATTACTAACACGTGAAATACGTGTTAGTAATCCTAACAATATTCTTCTGGGTCAAGTTAACCCAGTACTGCATTGGTGTTATTTTGACCTTCCACTGGGTAAACTTTAAATCGAGTGTATTTTATTTGGAGGTACATTTTAAGCATTCGAAAGCTCAGCCCAAATCTAAATGACCAAGTTCAGTTAATTAGTGGTTGATTGGCAAAGGATTCATTAAAGAAGGCAATAGTTTCTAAAAAAGTGAAGAGCTTAACCCGTGTGCTTACTGACCGAGAACTAAATACTGAACCAGATGAGCAGCAGAAGTATTCATATCCTTTACTTCTCAGGTTAATGCCGATGCCTCTATATGACCTACATAAACATAGAAGACCATCAGCAAGAAGATCGGCTATTTCTATAAAGTTATTCTTAATGCCACCACCACCTGCCACCAGGTCGGATTCCCCTTGAAATCATTGAAAAGAGCCTGTAGAAACACTAACACTTTTGTATACAGGGGCAGCAAGAATCTACACAAAATGACAGTTCCTTGTATTTGACTGTGGTAGAACTGTGTTTTGTGTACTGTTGGATGGTTTCATTTACTGTATGTATTTAATGTGTGCACTACAGTTTTCAGTGCTTTCACAATCAGACTGTTTGGTGTGACGCGCTTGTCAATAATACTTTCTGACTTACAAGAACTTTTAAGATATTATCATAGTTTTTGCATATGTCCGATACATGTAGTGGAATAAAAAGCATTGACATGTAGTGAAAAATGAAATAAATGTAGTATGTATAAGTGTAGATGAAGAAAACATGTCAATGAATGTTTTCTGTCCACTCATGTGAAAGGAAAGCCAAAATGGAAACTCGTAGTGTCCCCTGAGCAAAATACATCAAATTATTTTTTCAGCTAATATTCACCTTGTGCTCACTCTCATTACCCAGCAGGACATGGCTTCTGTATGTCCACAAGGACAGTACGCATTGAAGCACAGGTCAATAAGCATGTATCACTCACATATTATATATATAGTGTCACAATGTTTTCATGCGTCATACACATAAATAAACTGCATTTAAAAATGTTTTGAAGGTTTGAGTCATTAAAATATAGATGTAGATTAATAAAATGTGCCTTAAACATTGTTAGGGACACGTGAAACAGTTTGCATTCTGACTTTAAGATGTAGGTTGCTCTGACAGGTCTGAACCCATCCTCTTTCGATGAAATACAGAGTGCTGGAGTCACTTCAGGGATGTAAGTGGTGCAGACGTGTGTAAAGGCCCATGCATGGCTCAGGGTTTGATGAATACCCATGGGGGCTCCAGGGTTAACAGTGGCACATGTTTTGTTTTTCACTTAACGGCCTTGATTAAAAACCTGGAAACAAAGACAGTTACCATGGGCGTCTCACCTGTGGAATTAATTATCGCCACACAGATAGAGGTTGGCCCATTTAGCGTCTCCTCATTTCCTCATAAACAAGCTGTGCCGCAGCGTCTCTCATCACATCTGTACGGGACTCTAACCAGGTAAGAACACCTCTGCTTTAGACACATTTCTCGCTCTCATGTAAATACTTTGGTTTTATTATATTAAATGTGTAAATCGGAAAACAAATTAATTTCCAGGAAGCTACAAGACGTCATCATCTGTCCAGCAGAATGCCGAGCCAACTCGAGGGTGCAATGGATGCGCTGATAACAGTTTTCTACAACTACTCTGGAAATGATGGAGATAAATACAAACTCAACAAGGGCGAGTTAAAGGAACTCCTGAACAGTGAGCTCACCGACTTCCTCACGGTAAAGTAGACATTTCCATATTATGATTAAGTTTTTGTTTATTTAATATTTTTTATATTTGAATTGAAGTTCTTAAATCATAAATAAGAGCTTTTAGATGAACTGCTTGCTAGTTTTTTTTTTTTGTCAAATTGAAGAGAGAATTGACCATCCTCAATTTGAGCACCCACATTTGTTAATGGGAACATATTTTTAGTAAATAGGAAGGAACCAATGTTTTTTATACAGAATGATCAGAGCAAAGGGCTGACTGTGTTTGTGCACTAAACTGTGACCTTTACATCTCCCTGTATTTCCTCAATTGATCTATAGTGACCAATAGTAATCACAGTAACACACTTATTAAGGATCTTTACCCCTTTGCATGATGCTTTGCTGTTACTGACCCGCTTATAAGTTCAATTAGATCCAACCAGGTTTTCAAATGATTTAAGAAGGAGCATTCTGACCTTGTTTGAGGAAATTGTTTTCTCATTGATTGCTATCTGGCTGTCAAAGTGTAACTGCTTGTGGCTCTCACATCATAGCACTGTGGGAAATAAAGGATGTGGAGGAGGAGATAGATAAGGTCATTTGAGATAAGCCCCAGCCCCTGAGTCTGTGTGATAGCGGTTTGTACAAGCCTGCGATTCCAAATGATTGAGACCAACGCGTCAAGAAAACGGCTGGAGCCTGAGAGTCAAAGCTCTGATGTCTTCATATATATTTTTTCTTCTTTCTTTTCCCTTCTTGCCCTCCCTCATGTGGATGGGAAGCCTCAGGTGCTCACACATCATCATCATCAGTGGCCCATATCGCCTCCAAATATAGACTCTCCCATGATGTCATCACATCCCCCTGGGCTATAGTCACCTCTGAGAATAGACGCAGCCACAGCATAACATTCGCCCTCAGTTTCCTCTGACAGAAAACTTGGAAACCAAACCTTGATCCATTACTATATTGTTTTATTTTGACATGGGTGTGTGATATTAAACAGATGCGTTCAGTTTAGTTCTTTAGCTCTTTAACTGGTTTATTTTACAACTACTTGTTTATTTTATTCAATCAATTTTATTTAAACTTTAAATAAACTTTTAAATCTAAATAAACCATATTGTGTTGCATGTTAAATGAAATTTTTTGGAGATAAATGGTTTTCACAGGACATCGGTGTTGCTAAATAAACACAAACTTCTCAAAAAATTATTTTTTTATTCTTATGTTAATACTGGGGAAATACTGTATGTGGGATTTTATATTATCCCAACTGAAACAGTCAAATTTGTTTTCATCGTTTTCCTATTTTTACTAATTTACCTAGGGTATTTTTATTGTGTTTTTTATTATATATATATATATCACAATTTGACTGTAAACAGTGTTTTACTGGAATTCAGATTTTAAAAGGAAATAAAACATTTCTTATGAATTTGTTCATTGATGAGAAAACTGCAGCTTTGAGTCTCTTTGACCATTAAAATCCATTGCAGATAAAACTGCAGCCATATATTTCCCTAATAAAATAAACCCCATCTCAGTTTGCCCTTAGTGTGGATTGGATTTTAATTTCAACCTTTCCCAGAATGCTGCCTTTAATAAGTGCCACCACATAAAGATCACCGTTGCCTCGGAGGTTAGAGGGCTGAAAAGGAAAGCCATGTCTTGTTTCTCAAACCTGGAGGAAATGAGCAAAGCAATAAATGTCGTGTGTGATCGGCTGCAGCTCATGGGTCATTTAGCAGCAACATCACTCTGCTCTCCACTGGACACGGATGGCAGCTTTTGCCTTGAGTCAATATTAACCTCCAATATCAATCAAACAACTTGCGTGTTGCTCGGCCTACATGCATGGACAGACTGATATTTCCCATATCATGAAATAAATGTAATGCTGAAGCTGTTTTTAATTGCTCAAACAGAGATCTGAAGTGTCAATACTATTGGATTACAAGTCCAAGTAAGACATGAACTCATCAAGAGGCTAAGAGACTGAATATTCGTTTCGTCTCCACTTTGCTTTCAGTCTCAGAAGGATCCGATGCTGGTGGAGAAAATCATGAACGACCTGGACTCTAACAAAGACAACGAGGTGGATTTCAATGAGTTTGTTGTGTTGGTGGCCGCCCTGACCGTTGCCTGCAATGACTTCTTCCAAGAGCAGAAGAAGAAAAACAAGTAGAAAACCAACTGTAAATCTTTATCAGCAGTTTGAAAATGTTTAAAAATGTCATCACATTAAAAGCAATGCAGTAAACGTCCCATCAGTTGAATCCTTTGTATTAGCGTTTCCCGCCGTATAGCATTGTGAATGTAGTGTTCGTACATACTTTGTCTTATTGTCGCAGGTTTTAAAACAAAAAGATGTCTCACCAATTTTCAGCCTGGAGCTGTTAAACAATGACTGAGTAGAAAATACAAAGTACCCTTTTCCCTAATTGTCTTAATTGTCGTTTTTTGTATTGTGTTTGGTGCTGTGTTTAACTTGGGTGCATTAAAAGTAAAAGCTCCACTCTCCTAGTTTTGTCTATAAAAGACAGCATGATCATTACCGACAATTAACCTTTAAAAAGACACTTTGTCATTTAAGAATTTGTCTTAAATCCTTTGTTGTCATTTTTTTGTCCCAGTAGACGTCCCAGCTGAGACGCTCCCTGCTCCATTATAAATGTCAAAAGTTTATTATTGCATAATTGTCTTTCTTTGTTACAGGTTGATTGTGCATTTAAACATGTTTGTCCCTTGTCAGTCTTGCTGTCTATGTTCCCCAAGGACGAACCCTTTCTCCCTCGTGTTGGCGGAAAGCTGGCGTCATGGAAAAATGCACAGGATCACGGTGAATAAGGTTCAAGTTATGGTTCAGTGATAAGGATTTTACTGTACAATGTCTGTAACATTTAATGCTTCTAAATGTATTATGTGTTGCATGAGAAAGATAGACGTGTAGAAACATTTTAAAAAGTCTGACCACCAATCTGTTTTGAACACTATTTGACTTTGAGCATTGTCTTCTAATATAACAACTTATATGGCAAAAATAAATCTACTGGGTGACATCATGTAAAAACTAAATGAACCTACAGTGAATAAAGTCTATCCTCTGGAAACTGGAACACACAACTTCTGCCTGGATCATTATTCATCGGGTGCAAGTACTGATGTTTGTGATGTATGTTTGGGTATGTGTGCATGTGCAGTGGTGGAAGGAGTATTCTGATCCTTTACTTAAGTACTAATACAATATTGTAACTTAAATAAACAGAAGTATTATCAGCAAAACGTACTTTATCAAAAGTAAAAATGCTTGTTCTGCCTGTGACTGATACATGATATCAGTGACATTATTATGCATTATAGCATTTTACTGTTGCAGCTCCTTCAGGTGGATTAGTCGCCAATATAGGGGTTGGGCACCTCCATGGGGTCAGTAAATAAATCAGAGATTGTGTGATGATCAATGGGAAAGGAAAGAAGAAAAAGTTCTACTGCACAAATTTATATTAACTTCTTTTTTTTTTTTTTTACTTTTCTCTAAACTTTGCCTTTTTTGTGAAATATTGGATATTTTTACCTCTTTGGAACTCAATGAAACAAAACCATCTGAGTTTAGAAGTGAAAAGTCTCTTTGGTTGAACCAGAGAAGTGGAGGAGGTGTGGAATTGGATTTTTAGACTCAAAAAAGACTTTAACAACTCTATTGGACTTTAACACCAATGACTTGTGACTTTCCTTGGACTTGAGCATTTGACTTGAAAATACTTGATATCTTCCCCCAAGCTCAGATATAAAAAGTGTGCTACTTACAAATTGTGCCATGAATCAGTTAAATTACTTGAATCAACTAATGTTAACACTATTCATTCCCAACAAGTTAACACTTAATTGCCCAGACCCACTTAGTTTGAACCAATCCAACAGAAGAGAATCGTGAAGAATAATGTCACGATGCTGAGTGCCAGTTGGAAAAAATGATACCAAAGATACATTTGTGTGAGTATAAAAGCTATGTTGACTTGGGACTTGAGTGCGTGGACTTAGGAGTAGAATAAGGAGTAACAGTCAAAATAAATGCAGCAGAGAAATTGTACTTAATACAACACTTCCCTCTGAAATATAGTGGAGTAGACACATAAAGCAGCATAAACTGGAAATACCTCTCCTAATTGTCCTTGTAGTTGCTTAAATGTACTTAGTTACTTTCCACCACTGTGCATGTGCAAGTATGTGCGAGGGCAAGTCTTCTTTCAATCAGCTTTCACTTACTGGACATCTGACAAAGGCGAGAGAGGCTGTGCTTTTGGGAAATGACTGTGTACCATGTCTTGATGACGCATGGCGATCCCAATACGCACAGACCACCTGGGTCCAGCAGCATCAGCCAATCACATGGACACATCTTCCCCTCAAGCAGAAATGCTAATATTCTCACCTTGGGGAGGACAAAAGTGTAAACTCAAGCTGCATTTTCTAAGGGTTTTCCTCTGTGCGTCCCTTTTCCCGAAATACCCAAACAGACAGTTCACTTGCAATGACATTCTCAGCTGTGACGTGGAGGAAAATTACTGAAACAAAATACAGTGGCAAGTGTGATGCTTTTATGCGCGCAGATGGTGCTTGCACAAACCCTCACCGTTACAATGCAATTTGTCTGTGATTGGCTGTAATCGAGCAGGATAATCACCCTATCTCCCGTGGGAAGATGCCATGCAGTAATTATGTTTTTTGTTCAATTTTTAAAAGGTTGCAATCAATCACAAGTGTCATTCGATCGTCTTTAAATGTGGATATTTATATTCTCACACTTATAAATATCCTCCACTTCAACACACACTCTTCAAAATGTTCATGTAATTGTCTCTTCATTTCCTGTGACTAAACATCATGTTCAGGAACTGGCTTCCAACAGAGGAGAATTTTCCTATGGATTGTAAAGTTTGAGTCGTGAGCATATTTAATAGCTTCTTGTATTGGTACTATCATGAAAGTCCTGTTACTGTGGGAGATAATTACTGGCAATTAAGAAATGTTTAAGACAAAAATGCTCTCACCTGAAGTTCACTCTTAGGTACGTTTCAGTCTAGACTGCAGCACAACTTGAAAGAAATTGTCTTTGGCGGAAACAAAATGTTAAAGGCTATATCAGAAATTAAATATAATAATGAATCTGTTATTGTGCATAAAATGTAATGCCACAAGTCTCTTTCATAACTGAGGAGACCAGAAACTCTGCTGGCCAGAGAGAAAAAGGGGGGAAAACTGCTTTAAAAAAGATAATGTCCATGTAATTTTGACACCTTAGAGAGAAAGAGGACAGGATAGCGAGAGGGAAAAAATTGGAGAAAGTCTGGGAGAGCAAAAAGCAAGGAAAATACTGATAAAGTCCAAAGAAATTATCTTGAATTTGTGGCTAAAACATGCCACAAAAACAACACACAATGCCTGAAAGAACATGTAGAGCTGATGTTAACATCCTGAAGTGAATTTTACAGAAATGCCCAGAAAAGAAAAGCATGACGGAGGAAGAGAGGAGGCACAAGAAAACAGCCTCTTTCTAGGTAGCACGTATGTAGCATGTTTTATTTTCAGGGACAGTTTCTCCTCACTTCAAGTGTCACTCGTCCAAACGAAGCAGCTACCTGCGACGAATGTCTTTAAAATATGCCTCAAGCCCTTATCTCCCACATGCTGTCCGTTCTCCTGTTTCGTCACTTTGTGCGTCACTGTTTGTGTCATAACTCCTCGTTAGGAGCGACCTGTGTGTGTGGGTGTGGGTGTGTGTGTATGTGTGTGTGAGATGGTTTCAGCGTTTTCTTAGCCTCAGCTGATGATGAGGAAAAATTGAGTGAAGATCAAATGTGATATGGACCTTGTACAATGAAGAAGGGTTACACAGCTGCAAGTGTTGACAAGAAACATTCAAGCTGGCTCAGTATTTATAGTGTGTGTGCATCTGGCTGCACTGTTCTTGTGGTTTATGTGTCTGACATTGCAGATCTCACCGGAATTTCACCTTCCGAAGGCAGCATTAGAACAACAGTATAAAAGAAATGAAATAATAAAGATAGACAAGATGAATTTGACATGTCATATAAAATAAATTTCAAGAAAATCCAAGAGAAATCAAATCAGAAGCATTGAGATGAAAAAGAAATGGAAAAGTCTGCAAAAAAGCTGGAGTGAAACAGGAAAACATGTTGTTTTTAACATTTAACATTTATTCCCTTAAGAGAATAAAGATTCAAGTGCAAGGGTGTGATGAAAAACAGGAATCAGGATCCAAAAGCAAACAACAGAAACAGGACAAGTATAACAAAAGGAGACTTTACTCAGTTGTACAGCAGTGTTGAGAGGAAGAGGGTCAGTTTTCATAAGGAGAACAGGACACTGGACATCTTAAAATAGCTGTGGGTGCAGACAGAGGGGACAGTTGTTAGCCACGCAGGGCTAATAGCATCCAGGACCTCACTGATGAATCTCACAGGGATAATTATAAAGATGTTTAGAGGATACTTGAGCAAAATGGGAGACAACAACTTTATTTTAACTCGGGAGGCAACGCACTACCCTTGTAAAAGATAGTAGTTTCACAAATATACTACCATTTGCACTCATGAGTTATGTAGCCTACTTAAAGTGTGCTAGTTTTTGACATTCAAATTATATATAATTAGAATTACTTAACATATATTTTAATGTTAAGGGCTATGTTGAACAACCATTTAAAGTGTAAACTATACTGTACAAATTATGGGAATTCTTTTACCATGTACTTTTATATTTCAGATATTTCTCCTAAAATGCTTCAGACAACAACTAGAATACATTTAATATATTATAAATACTTTAAATGTGTAAATATATTCCCTGGATTAGTATCTTCTTTAGTAAATGGAAGTTATATTGAAGATATTAAGGGCAAAAAAGTATATTTAAATACAATTACTTATAACCTAATGGTGGTCTTAAAATGGCACAGTAAGTGCACCTGAGTGTAGTCAAGTTGTACTATTTGCATATCATTAACACACTAAGTACAAAGTCAGTCAGTGAAAAATATTAAGATTAAGGGTAGAAATCATAAATCTATAGTAGTTATATATACTTATGTTTTAATAATGTACATCCTTTCCAGTATGTATAAAGTCCACTTACTCTAAGATCCATGAATGATCTGCTAGGCAATAAATAAGAATTTAATTTGTTTATTTACTAATTAATTTAGTTCAGGAACTTGTAGGGGTTTTCCATTTCCATGATGTCATTCATCATATTAGTTCTTAATTTCAAAAGGAAGAAAAGTCAGATCCTTGAAGGTAGTTTTAGGCATTAAGAACAGTTGTTGAATAAGACATTTAAGAAACACCACGACCACGATGAAACACTTTATGATTTATCATTATATGTCTGAACATCTTTAGTGCTGCTTAGTAACAGATGGAGGATGATCCTATTATGAAGCACAGCACGTGAGGAGCCAGATTTTCCACAGCAGCTTTCTTTAGCCTGGAAAGTGGTGTGGTCATCCCTAAGGGGATGACGACAACAAAAAATGCAGACCTGGAGCCCCTGTTGGGGAACATACGGCCTGAAGTCTCCCGCACCGGAAAAAGATGTAGGTGGGCTTTCATCATTTATAATGTCTCCTGGGATTTATACCATACTCACATGTATGATGTCTGTTTGCTGCTGCAGACCCTGACGATAAAATGAACTCTAGTGGTTTGATAATATTTATAACTTTTTCTTTTTTAAATTACTTACATTTGGGCACAAACTGTAACAATGATTGTTTCATCTGATTTTGTAATAGTCTCTATTTTATAGATAACAGGTCAGTAAAATATAGTATGGTATTCCTTTCATTTTAATCTGATCCAAGTGGAAATATTAAGATCTGATTGAAATAATTAGGTGAATATGGATCGCCAAAGTGATTATAATTCGTCCTGAGCGGGACATGAATGTCTGTAACAAATTTCATGGCAATGCATCTAATAGACACATTTAAACTCATGGTGACACTAGAGGAAAACTTTGGAATAGCCAAAGATTCATCCTCTTTGCACCATGAATGTCTGTTCAATATTCCATTGTCATTTCTAGACCTAGCATGACTGAAA